TACGCTTTTGTTAAATTTATCTGATTCATGACGTGAATTTTAGAGAATTCAAAGAAATTATATGAATGACCCAATAATATTACCACACTGTGGTTTATAATTAATTAGATTAATACATTGTCAGAAGTAATCCCAAATTTATATTTTTCTTTTTCTGGAAAATTACTGCAAAAGATAATGATCTCCACTTATGCAAGTAGTTCACTTTCCACTCGGGAGAGGGGGGGGGGGGGGGCGGTGGGTGTTGGTTGGCATTCAATGACCGCCAGTTCAGCTCTGGCAATCATGTTTCAAGAGGACCATAAGGGAAATGCGACGGGGATCTGAAAGTAAGACTTTATGACTCTATAATATCTCACGTTTAACGTTAATTATTATGCTAATATAATAAAATATTATACTAAAACATGAGGTGATAGAGAGTTTACGGAAAACCACTTTTGAGAGAGTCTTCTTAATATTGCTCTGACCGTAAACGTACCATACTTAATGAAAAAAAGGCCATGTTAGAACCAATATTTTTGATGACTCGGGATCCACTGCGAAGCCACTGACACACTGACACGGTAAAATTTTAAGTGTAATCGGAGGATATATCTTTCATTGCGTAGTTACACATTATGTGATGGAAGCAACCGAGAGTATGAGTTACACTCCCAGATATATGACGGAATCTCTCTACTCCACACATATTATATTTTGATGCCTGTATTTATTGGTTTCTAATAGTCTTCAAACTTGAAAGTGACTACATGACACCCAAGTCAAGAATAGAATTTTCATTGTGTGGAAAAGGAACTGGATCCCCTCTTGAGCATAAGGTGTGATCCTCTTGATTGGATCATCTGGACCATTGAAATTTGATCCAACGGCTACAATAATTACAACCTTTAGAGGGCCCCCTGTTTGTAGTAGTTGGATCAAATTTTAATAGTCCAGATGGCCCGGTCAAAGGCTCCCAACCCTATGCTCAAGAAGGGATCTGGTTCCGTGTGGAAAATACGATCGGGTACACAAAATTTCATAATAGCATGACGACTATTATGCTTAACACAACGAAGATGGTTGAGCCGACTCGAAGTTTTTTCGAGTTGGAGCTTGGCTCAAGCCTACCATAAAAGTAATAGGTTGATTAGGTGATTAGGGAGCGATGTAAGATCCGGGTAACCATGGGTTGATCCGGATCCAATAAATGCTCCACGAAGAGCCGATAGGATGGGAGCCGAGCTGCGGTAGTCGACTCCATCGGCTTGCACGTAAACTTGGTGGATTCACTATTGGATAACGCGACGACACGTATCCAAAAGTGGAGGTAGGATTCCGGTGCGGAAGGCATTAACGTATTCTTCTGTTACATCCATTCCCATTGAAGTAGTTGATGCCATAGGCCTAGATTCTCAATCAAAATAGTAAACCAAAATTGTAATAGGAACTTTGAAATGATTAATTATTTGTGTTTGATGTGCTAATAATAATTCTCGAAATATTACCAATACATGGATGCATGTACTCATTTTTTTCCCCATTTTACCTCGTTAAAATGTGGATTTGAATGACGTAATAAGTTTGTGACTCAAGTGATTAAAAACGTTTATCTGTGCACTCAGAGTCATGTTTTCGAACATACCTCCTTGATATTTGCTTGTACGAAATGCTGCAAACAACGTTGGCAAATTACATGAAGGAAAGGGAAGTGAGAAAGGAACAGCCCAAAACTATTTTCGTTTTGGTTATTGCTTGTAAGAAACGTAGGCGAGGTGATAAGGGTGTGTAGACCTTCAATCCGGGCCTTGTAGTGCATGTGAAGGCTCGTAAGAATTGTTTGGAAGCTTAGCAACAACAATAATATTGTGTACAATTTTCTTCTAATCCTTGCTCTTATAACAATTAGTGTCCTCCTTCCAATCTTTACTCAAATTATTTGGCATGTACGTAATTTTTTTATTTTTCTTCTATCAATGGAGACAAAAATACGTACTTGAGATTACGGGTGGATTCGAAAAACCGAAAACCGAAAAAAAGGGATTGAATATTGAATCGAAACCAAAATATTGAACGGGAAATAAAAGAACCTAAACGAAAACTATTGGTCCGATTTCAATTTTGGTGGTTCAAAATGGAACATAAATGAATCAATCTGAACTGAATGAATATAAATTAAAATTTTATGTATTTTTTTATGTAGGGGGTTAATTTTCCAACCCATATTCCAATTCAACTATTAGCCTCATTTCAATTCAAGGTTAAGGAAACCTAACTTAAAAGCCCAAACATGTTGAAAGCCTTATTCCCTATATTTTTTTTTTCTTCATTTTCTCTTCAATTTCTAGACTAAAAAGAAAAAGATTTTTTTTTGAAAAAAAATAAATGAACCGAACCAAAAAAATCAAATTTATCTGAAGTACAAATTGCGAACCTAACCAAACCGAATAATAATATTTATAGTTTGATTTTTGATTTTGACAAAAAACCAAACCAAATAAATTCGAACCTACTTCTACTTAAAGAGACATATTTCAGCATTTTGAGGATATATTTATTACTCGACTAAGACTTAGCTAATAATTAAGATTAAAATGATTGGTTGTTTTTTTTTTTTTGGGACAAAGGTAATTTTCATTACCAAGAGAGCACAAGTACAACCAAAGGGGCCCAATAACACAACAAACACAAAACAAAAAGTGAACCCCAAACACAAAACAAAAGCCCAACCCAAGAGAAGAGCCCAAAAACAGAAAAACAACAACCCTAAAAGACTACCATCCAGCATCCCATGGCAGAGATCTCACCAAACACAGCCCTAAAGAAGAGGGCTCCATCTTCCTCCACCAAGCACCACACATATCGAAACCACAGTCACCAAGGAAAAAAGCTAGTAGGAAAGAATTTTCCCCCAGCAACAAAGCCGAAAACAACATACAAGTGGAAGGTGGTGGTGTGTACACCGCATGAGCCAAAGCTTTGCACACCTTCCGAGAAAGCCGCAAAACGCGGGTGTAAGAAATGGTTGTAGAATCAGACATGTGTGAGAACGATGGATGAATGTAGCAAATGGAAAGGTAAGAAAATGGCTGGATTAGAGTCATGGAGGTGGAAAAACTTGAGGAAAAATAAGAAAAAGGAAGGTTGGAAGTGGGACTATCAGATTGAGACCGAAGAAAGGTTAGATCGGAGGACTTAGGGGATGGATTACAAGAAAAACGAGTCGAAAAACATGCATGGAGAAAGCCAGTCTCACAGAGAAGGGAAGAGAGACAAAAAATGAAGAAGAATAAGGAAGGCCACTGACCCTGGTCACTGCTAGGGCTGGCGGCAGAGCGAGATGACGGAATTGGGAGCACTCACACACCGGTGAGAAAGTCTCTCACACAGAGAAAAGGTCTCTCACGCGGAGAGAAGATTAAAATGATTGGTTTAGGACGTGCCAAGCATTCTGATGCCATGGTGAACCAATCAGAGGTGACTAAGAAAGGAGGAAGCCAAATATTCCGGATATATTATTTTGGGTAAATTACATAGTAGCCCCTCAGATTTGAGGTCTATTGCAATCTTATATAACATCTTTAAAACATTTCACTTTCATATCTCAAGTACTATTTTATTTCAATTTCATACAACCGTTACATTTTCCATCCATGGATTTGTTAAATGTTGACGTGGCTACCACATATATGCCACGTGGCAAATAAAATAATTTTTTTAATTTTTTTTTAAAAACCTGTTTGCCACATATCTTTTTGTTTTTTTCTTCTTCTTCTTCTTCCTCCTCCTCCTCCTTCTTCTCTTTTTTTTCTTCCTTCTTCTTCTTCTGGGTTGCAGGGGGTTCGATCATTTTTTTTTTCTTCTTCTTCTTCTTCTTCCTCTTCCTCTTCTTTCTTCTTTTTATTCCTCCTTCTTCTTCTGGGTTGCAGGGGTTCGGTCCTTTTTTATTTATTTATTTTTTCTTCTTCTTCCTCCTTCTTTTTCTGGGTTGCAGGGGTTCGGTCCCTTTTTTTTTCTTCTTCTTCTTCCAATTTCAAGTTTTTAAAAAAAATTAAAAAATTATTTTATTTGCCACGTGGCAGACATTTGACAGCCACATGGCATATATGTGGCAGCCACGTCAGCATTTAACAGATTCATGGATAGAAAATGTAACGGTTGTATGAAATTGAAATAAAATAGTATTTGAGGTATGAAAGTGAAATGTTTTAAAGATGTTGTATAAGATTGCAATAGACCTCAAACTTGAGGGGTTACTATGTAATTTACCCTATTATTTTTGTTTTAAAAAGAAAAATTTCGTTGTTAAAAAAAAGAAAAGAAAAAAGAAGTAAAATTCCATACCGCATAAAAAGAGGAAAAAAAAGAATATTCCATACCAACATCCACCGCCCTATATATGCCTAGATGCCAATCTTATGCCCTATTTTAGCGTGTTGAGTCCTCGTAGGGTGTCTATATTGTGACAAGAGAACATATCTTGTTCTCTTAATACAAGCCGACTCTAAATAAACGGTAACATATACTAAAAATTGTATTAGCGATGTGATTAATAACTTTTACATTGATAACAACATAGTAAAAAACTTGAATTAATCAACACTCGAAACGAGTTCCGCTCCATTTAAACCCAATCAGACGTTGCATCGGCCATTTTTTAAAAAAAGTTGGGAACGCGATTCGTTACACCAAATATCATAATACAAATTAAATGAAATTTTTTTCTCCAAATAATTGTATTATTATATTTGATATATCGATTAATATTCTAGGCACACTAAAAATCTCTCTTTTGCGAGAATAGTTAATGATGGACTGCCTGCCCTATTGAATTTGCACCTTGATTTGATTCATTTCTGTCTGTTTGTGCTGCATATATGCACAACGCATCCATATTATCTAGATGCTCTGACTGATCCTGTTATTGAAGATTCAATAACACGTTTCTCACACGCATGTTAAAAAAATCACAATTATCCTGACGCACTCGCTTACCCTGTCACGCACATTTTGTCGCATTTTCGAATTGGACTGCCTTTATGTCCCATTCGATTTAGATAATTTTAATTTAAACCACATATTATTTCCATTCCATTTTTCTCAATGCAAAAAAAAAAAAAAAAAACATGCAATTAATTAAAAAGCATGGCCCATGCATGCAAGCCACGCCTCAACTATCGAAACATCGGAAAACAACAAAACAACCTAGAAGTCATCGCCGTCGTCGCCGTCGTACACATCATCCTCCACTTTCTCAGCCACGTCATCCGCAATTTTGTCCTCCACGTAATCAAACCCCTCCGCCAATGCCAGCCCACCCACCGCCCCAGCCACCGCGCCTACCGCCAGTCCCGTCCCCATCCCCCCAAACTTGCTCTTCTTCTCCTCCTGCCCGTACGCCCCCTGCCCGTAGCCCTGCCCCGGCTGTCCGTAACTCCCTTGTCCCATCTGACCGTAGGGAGCGGGCTGACCGTACGGCGGCGCTGGAGCACTGTATTGGTTATACGGATACCCAGAAGGCTGAGGCGCCGCGTAGTAAGGGTTTTGCGGCGGCGGTGGTGCAGGTACGCCGTAAGGTGCCCCATAAGCCGTTGGCGGAGCGGGATATTCCCGAGAGCCAGCTGGCGGCGGGACACCATAAGGAGGAGCGTTGTACGGTTCCGGCGCACGATAGCGCGGCTCCCTGATCGTAACTTTAACGTCAACTTTCCCCTGGGGCCTACCGGATGGTCGCTTGAGCTGAAGTGTGCGGCTGGCGGGCTCGTCGAAGCCCACGTCATCGATGACATCCCGGAGCTTGAGCCGGGCCGACCCAATCAAGGGCTTGGTATCCGGGTCGGATCCGGCGTGCACGATGTCGATGTTGAGAGTGGTGTCGCCGTCAACGGGGCCCGGTAAGGGGATGGTGAGGGTCTCGTCCCAGTAGGGTGACGCGTCGCCCTCCTCATCGACGTGGGAGGAGCATTTGTTCTTGGGGTCCACCCAAACGACGGCGTAGGGCTTCAAGGCGCCGTTTCGCCAGTTGACGTTCTTGAGGTCGCGGGCGGAGGTTAGCTTCAGTTGGACTTCGTGACCGGACGCCATTGATCGGAAATAGAGTTTTTTCGGAAGTGTTTTGCGGGTTGCGTATCTGAATGGACGGTCGTATTTATAGATTGTAAAGGGCAGAATATTTCAGAGGCGAAAGTACCATTCTGCCCTTGTGAATGGTTATTACCGTTTATAGTGGGAGGGTATATTGGTAAACGACAAAATGAGGGTAGGTTTAAGTAATTATCCGGGGGAGAATATAATTAGCTTAGGGACTAAGCACATCTGAGGAGGAAAATGACTATTTTTGGAGAAATTTTTAGTTGTGACGGGAACACGGATGATACAGCACGTGTTTTTATGTAAGTGGTGGAAAATTATAATTTTTAAGTTATTAACCTTTAAACACGCATAACCCACCATTTATATAAGAACACGTGGTGTACTACCTTGTGTGACAATCACACTGAAAAATCTCTCATATTTTTGATAGGGCTATCTGAGGCAGTGTTGTTTGGATACAAATTAAATGCTTTTGCTTAGCAACCTTTTCACTTACTTTTTCATTTTAATTCACGTCATTTGAATTCTGTTAGCGTTTAAAATTAAAAGTTTAATACCACGAGATTTGTCTGTGACTGTAATAGAAACTGATACCAAATAGTCATGTAATGAAATTAAATAAACGTTCGTACGTTATTGGATTGAAACATCGACTGAGTAGTTAGGATTTCATGTGGTACTCTGAAATATATAATACTCCAAGCTCTTTAACCGTTAAATTTTTAATTAAAATATACAAAATAGAAGATTTAATAATTAAAGAAAAAAACTTGAGATATAAGATGCTCTGTAGCATCATAAAACTTTTACTGAGCAGAGGCAAAGTTGAGTGATGACATTTGGTGGATAGGATGTCTTTTGTCGAGAATTTTCCAGATGCTTCAAGACTTCACATTGACTCAGATAGCCTTCCAGATGTTTCATTTAATTGGGCCCCATCTTTGCTCAGCCCAAACCCGTATTCAGCCCACCCGAACGAAAAAGCTTAGAGTCAAGTCGAATCGTGGGCCGAACAAGTTAATATCGAAAAATTGCTTGGCCCATTTAATAATTACCGCAGTTACGCAGAGTTACGCAGCTGGGCGCCTGGGACGGTAATTTCCAACATCAAAACCCTAAACCCTAAAACGCAGACGTTATAAAAGAGCCTTCAGGCTCTATCGGAAGCTCACTGCGCCTCTCTCAAATTTTCTGATAAACCCTAGCAACCAGGTTCCTTCCCGCAGCTCTCTCTACACTTGCAGCGATGGCTCCTCCTCGAGGTAATGGAGAAAAAGAGATTTACCCCTATTAATATTTGTCGTTTGTTTCTTTATAATTTGTGTGAAAGTATGCATTTTTATTTGGGTTTTCGGATATCTGGATATTCTGATTTTTTGTTCTTCATTTTCTGCTGAAAAAATTGTCGATTTTTGATTTTGGGTTTATTTTTTTCCGACAAAATCGCATGAAAGTTTAGTTCTTTAGTATTTACCTTCGTTTTTATGCGCAGTTTCTGTGTTTTTTTTTTACTTTGTGTTGAAGGTTGTTGTTGTTTGGATGTTTTACCAGAAGTTAATGCAGTTTGGTTTATTTTTTCTGTTCCTGCTGTAAAAAGTGTTGATTTTTGTGTTTGGGTTAATTTGGTTTCGACAAAATCAGTTGAGATTTCAGTGTTTTACTTATCTGCGTCGATTTGTTGGGTTTTTTGCAGGTCGTGGCGGTAGTGGAGGATTCAGGGGTGGCAGAGGTGACAGAGGTGGAAGAAGTGGAGGTAGGTCTGGTGGTGGTGGGGGTAGAGGCTTTGACAGAGGTGGTAGTGGCTTTAAGCCCCGTGGTGGACGTAGTGATCGCGGAGGCGGTCGTGGAAGAGGACGTGGCGGGAGAGGTGGAATGAAGGGTGGTAACAAAGTTGTGGTTGAGCCTCACAGGCATGAAGGTGTTTTCATTGGTAAGGGTAAGGAAGATGCTCTTGTTACCAAGAATCTTGTTCCCGGTGAAGCTGTCTACAATGAGAAGAGGATTTCTGTTCAGGTGTGTTTTGTCCATTTTCTGAACTTATTATAATATCTGCTCTGTATCCGTATAAACAAGGATTTAAGCGTTTGTACCTTCAAAAGTATCCGTTTAATTAAGTATCTAGACTAATTGCTTGTGATTTTTATTGTATTTCTTATTATTGTGGTTTGTGAATATAGTCAATAGTCACCTTCTAAATGTGTTTTCCTTCTTTCAGAATGAGGATGGAACAAAGGTTGAATATAGAATTTGGAACCCTTTCCGTTCCAAGTTGGCTGCAGCCATTCTCGGTGGCGTTGATAATATATGGATTGTAAGTCTTGATTTCATGTTTTCTTGCCTTTTGTTTGATCTTTGTTGTCCATCTTTGATTGTTTATATCTCTTTGTTTCTGTGTGTTTAATGTAGAAACCTGGTGCTAAAGTTCTCTACCTCGGGGCTGCTTCTGGTACAACAGTCTCTCATGTGTCTGACATTGTTGGCCCTGTAAGTGTTCTTTCTGATATTGGTTCTTCAAGCTCCTTATTTCCCTCCGACCATAGGTTCTTAGAACTAAACTGCCTGTTGTTTTTGTAGACTGGAGTTGTCTATGCTGTTGAGTTCTCTCATAGAAGTGGCAGAGACTTGGTAAATATGGCGAAGAAGCGCACAAATGTCATACCCATTATTGAAGATGCCAGGCATCCAGCTAAATACCGTATGCTTGTTGGCATGGTTGATGTGATATTCTCTGATGTTGCACAACCTGATCAGGTTTGTTTCTTGCCCTTCATGTCTTCGCTAGTAAAAGAATCTCTTTTTTGCCTATAGTCTTTTTCTTATGGGTTATGAAATATCAAGATTTTCAAAGCGATTACCCGAGTTTGAATTTGTGTTATTTGAAAATCATAACCACTTTGTGTCATTTTCTTATATTCTTTCGCATATGATGAGATATACTCGGATTCCCCTTCACGACAGCATGAATGATGTGAACTCGAGTTTCTGATGCGTACATTGTTCTGTATTGAAATCAAACTCGTTATTTTCTCTTGTTCTGTAAATTCTTTTAGTATTTGTTTATGCTTTTCATTCTTTCAAGTTCTAACGTCTTTTGTTGTACTCGTTCTGATTCTGGTTCTCTATACTGGATATTTTTTTGTGCAATAAAACTTTTAGATGTTATAATTTGGTTTTTTTTTTTTCTAATTTTATCTGTAGTGTCATTTTTCATAATTGTATTTCTAAAAGTTTTTTTCCTTCCTGCAATATATTGAGCATGTGACGAACAACTCGGATTCCCCTTCAAGACAATTATGGGTGATGCAAAGACCGAGTTTCTGATGCTCCTACATATTTGATTTTTGTAATTCAGTTTTTTTTTTTCCTAATGATTTCACCTCACCTCTCCCCTTTTCTCCTCTACTCTTTCATTCTCTGGTGTTGCTGGTAGCCTTAATACCAATGTTTCCGACTGTGTTGGCGTTGGTGTATTTGGCAGAAGTCCTTGAAGGCTTGGCCATAATTAGCCTTTCAAATGTTAATTGCTTCTGAATCATGTTCACTCTGTCAAATTACCTCTGCAGGCTAGGATTGTAGCATTGAATGCATCATATTTTCTGAAAGCTGGAGGCCACTTCGTTATCTCAATCAAGGTTTGTTTTCAGAATTTAGGGTAGACCTTATAAGACATGAGGTCCCTTTTGCTTGTGGCGTAAATTAGATGGTTGGAAATTTTCCTTTTGGCCCGCTCATGGTTTGGTAACTAAAATCTGTTTTTCAGGCCAACTGCATTGATTCAACATCACCCGCGGAAGCAGTGTTCCAATCAGAGGTCAAGAAGCTTCAGGCAGAGCAGTTTAAGCCAGCAGAACAAGTCACACTTGAACCTTTTGAGCGCGACCATGCTTGTGTGGTTGGAGGCTATCGTATGCCAAAGAAGTCGAAAGCTGGTGACGCCTAGAAGTTGTCCAGCATCCTATCCATGATCTGCCTTTCTTGAGGAGGAAGAATGATCTAGTTATAAGTTTTAGAAATGTAAACGTGACGGTGTTCTTCCCTTTTATTTTACCCGGTTACTGGTTAGAAGTTCTAGAAATTGTCCTTCTATGTAGTAGTTCTGAACCGGTGAAACGTTGTAGACATTTTAGTTTTTATATAAGAGTTAAATTTCGTTTGATTATTTAGTGCATTTCATTACTTTTAAAGTTCACAATTGTTGAAGAGAAAAAAAAAAAACTTGAACAGAGCAGAACAAGTACACCTAATTGTGAAATCGAGTCGACCTCGAAGCAAAGCTTTGGTTGGCATTCGATTCAAATGAGTTTATACGACGTGAAGGTTAAACCCTTGCTGATTGCAACTGCAACTGCAGGGTTTCCCGCAATCGCGTCACTGCGGCTGTTGCATGCTTGTAGGGATGCCAGGTCAGCTTTCTCAGCTCTTTCTGCGGCTGTTGCTCCGGCTGCATCCTCGTAGGGATGCCAGGTCTGCTTTCCAAGCCTCTTTCTTGAGCGTTCTTTCGAATGCTTTACCTCCGTTCATAGCATGACATGATCAGTTTTGTTGTCTGTACTGCGAAACAAACTATTGCACTGTGTCTCCACCCGATCCCCCTCTTATGTTTTTTCGAACAGTTATCCGTTCGTGTTGGATATATTCACCGTCTTTATTACATTTTATCTTGACGGGAAAACATTTTGTACCCGTTTAAGCTGCTCCTACGGTTGGGATAGTCTGTCCCGTTGGCTAGACGACATTTAGTTTGTTTACCTGGACAAATAATAACGTCATAACCACATCAAGCATGGAAAGAATCTGCAAGATGTCGTGTGCGTTAGTAGATGTCGAGTACTCGTTGAAAGGGTGAATGCAAGCTAAGCTTCAATCTGTTGAGTACATAGGGCATCTTGAGAGCTTTGAGCAGTCATCACTATAGTGTCGAACAACCCACAAGAGCTTTTCGATCTGTTGATCAATTGAGTTTTTAAGTCCTGGACATGGATCGAGAATGGATCTCAAACTCCTACTGAATTTGAATCGATGAAGAGGTCGAATTCTCAAGTCATTTGAGGTGAGTAAAGAAATTTACGAGTTTTTATCTACCTTATCAGTCTGATATTAATTACAAAATGAATACATTAGATTTTTCATTGAGCTGGTCATTCGATTATGGTGTCTGAATGATCAGATTAACTTACATGATATGCGATGCCTTTTTGAGTTTCGCCTCACCTGCAAGGGCAGGAGGCCGATAGGTTTGACAGCCAGATTCCGGCATTTAAGAGAGTAATTTGATGGGTGAGTTCATTCTTGGTAAATCATATTTAGAAAATTGATGATGAAAACGAGTTTGTAGCTAGAGTTCCGCCCCTACTTCCTCGAAAATCTTGAAAGAGTATCGGAAATTTGTTTTTGGGTACTACTTTTCTCTCTTACGAGTTATGTATCGTGACTTACGTGCTATTCTATATCCCTGTGAATCTAGGAACTTTGATCGCTTGATTTTACCTCACGCTCAGGCATGGTTTGTCCAAGTCGATAACTGAACCCGCTTTTTGAATCTCTTGTATGAATTTGTGTATAGTTTTACTTTCGTGCTGTTTCAGTCTCGGGGGCACATTACCAACTAGTTCTTACCGACTGAGATGGATAGAGATTTGCAATCCCTTCGGGATACCTTTGCTACATTGCAGAGTCTACTTGAAGCCCCTGCGGGAGCAGAACAAATTGACCTCAATGTACCTAGAGAAACAAACGGGCCAATCTTCGATACCCCCTTTTATATTGGAGATTCTGGCTCCTCCTGCTTATCAAGTAACTTCTCTTTGCACGACACTATGGGTGATTTGCTGTCTGCAGAAGGGAGGGAAGCACACATGTGTGGCAGGAAAAGGCGTAAGAATGTTGGAAACTTTATGGACAAGCTGGTTTGAATGGGAATATGGAGGATATGCTGGTTGGACAGAGAAGGGAAGTGGTTAGCAGGAGGAGAGCAAATGCTGTAAAGATTACAGGCTGGGAACCAGATTTGAATGTGAATGTCGGTGATGAAACACATTCGGCCATCAAACTCTTGTCATTGAATCGAATGTTATAAGTTTTCTAATATACATTCTTCTGTTTCTGTCAGTCCTGCGACTTAGGGGAAAGACAAATGCCTGTCCAACATGACTCTCGCAGGGACTATCAACAATCTGGAAAGCGGTTACTTTACCGTGAAGGCGGCCAAAATGACGGTGTTATACCAAATCCTCTGAGTTTGAATAGCGCATTAGGAAACGTGACTGGTGCTGCAACTGTTGCTGTTGAATATTCTGCAGAACGCAGCGTTCTAAACACAAACAGGCCTGCTTCCTCCGGGGCAAGGATGTCTTACACTATACAAACGAAGGTATGTTGATTTGGCTGGAGGACTAATTCTTCTTGATTCTCTCTTTAAATGGATTGTTTTGAAGCTCTACAACTCCATTTCTTTGTAACAGCCTCCATAAATAGTCTCTTGTGTTTTCGTTCTTGTTAGAAATCGATTATTGTTCATTTTCGGTTTAAGCCTTATTTGCATCTACATCATACTCCCGGAAGTAGGATTGTTTGGAAGAAGTGAAAAATGAAATCTAATTAGTGATACTATTATATTTTGAATATATGCTTTGCAGTGCCAGGAGGCACTTAACATGATCAAGAGACTGATAGACGAAAAAGGCCACGAAATCATGCCTTTTTCGCTGAGCGCATGGAGGCAGATCGTGAGCTCCGCTCACAGGATGAATGTATCCGGAACTGATATCCTGAATTTTCAAAAAATTTATCAACGGCTGGATCAAAGAGACTACTATGGAGTTCTAGATTTTGCGGCGGATGTCCAGTTAACGTTTAAATGCTTAGCAGATCAGTATCCGCTCTATTCCCCGGTAACATTTACTTCTCTTTTCTCAGTTTTCCCTTTGAATCTCTGCTCTTAAATTAATCCAAATGATAAGAATAAACATACAGGGTTAGAAACTGAAACTTGTATACACGATTGTTTTAAAGGAAAACTAATGAAAAGGGCTTGAAAACTTTGCGTTTTAACGATAATGACCAAATAAAGGGTAAAGTGAATAATATCAGGATTGACTTTTTAGTGTAAAAATATGATTTTTCATTAAAATAAACAGTACCGAGAGCTTTTCGTTAAAGTTCCCTTGTTTTAACTGCAGATACGGGATGAAGTGCAGAAAGTCGAAGTGTTGTTTTTCGACATCATGAAGAGAATGTTCCCGGATACAGATTTCCAGCAGCTGCAAAACCAAGTTCAAAATCTTGCCTAGCTAGGATCCTTGTCAACTCTGTGCGGAGAGAGCCGGGCCGGGTGAAAGGGCAATCAACTGACAGAAACAAGGACAAAGCAAACAATGACAAAACGAGAGTGTGAAAATCGCTAACCCTTTCTTGTATTCATGTGCGAGATCTCCTACGCAGCTGTTGTTCCGACCTAGGTTTCTTGCACTGTACGGCATCAAGGAGGCCTGTGGGGTGGGGACTGGGGGGTGTTTACTTAGAATGTTAGCTGGGTCAACACTGTGATTGTTAGTTGAGTCAAAACAGACTGATTGATAATTGCTAGGAGAAAGACAAATCAGTTGTCAAACATTTCAAGCTTGTTCGATACAGAAATCAACGTACTTTTCACTCAGAAACTACAAAGATTTGCAGTCTTAAATCGATTGTTCGTTACGTAAAACCAATCAAAGCCGACGTGTTCTTAACGTCGACTACTAATTGATTGGGTTTGAAGGGTTCGAATTTTGCACCAAGGAACTTGCATAGACCATGTCAGATGCCTCCATGTTCTAGAAGACAACGTGCTACTGCATGTACTTTGGCGCCATGAATGCAAGAACAAGACAGGGTGGTCCACAGTTATCTTATGAATTCGTTCACTTTGACTTGTTCCTACTGCCGTTCTATTTTTAGTAAATTGAAACTAAACTTATCTTAATCCTAACTCATTATTGTACTCTCGTTCACATGCTTAAAACAACTACATTTTGATATTCGTAAAGTCGACAGCCCTTTTATTTTTGTTCGATAAAAGTGAAGAGTGGTAGAATTTGAAACCTTCACTCACAAAGCCAAAAAAAGGGAAAAATAAAATGATTAAGAGAAGTAAATACATAAAATGATAAGAAAAAGAAATGTCAGAAGTGGGATTTGAACCCACGCCCTCGTTAGAGGACCAGAACTTGAGTCTGGCGCCTTAGACCACTCGGCCATCCTGACCTTGCTGTTAGCTGAACTTAAGAATAATTTAACTTAATGTGTTTTTAGAAAACCTAGATAACCGAATTTTGATGATTAATGAAAAAAAAGTTACATCTAATTAGGAGGAAATAAACCGAATCCCTTACAATATAAAAAATGAAGATAAGAAATACATGAAAAAGAGAAGGGGACATAAACCTTACCCTTTTAGAAACGAAAACAATAAAAATTCAAAGAAAAGAGGGGGGACATGAAACCTATTCCCTCTAAAGTCGAACCTAATAGTATAAACCTACACAACAGATCTTGCAACAACACAAGGTTAAGAAGAAAAAAAAAAAAAGTAAGACAAACATGTATGCAGAGATGCAATGAAAGAAGTTTAAGAACTTTTCACATACAGAAAAAAAACCTCCGTATTTTCTAATGGGAGAAGGGTATCAAAAGAATAGTGCAACTAAAATTAATAAGAACATAACTAGTGAATAACCGAAGGAATATTTTTTTTCCAATTAAGCTCTTTTTTTGGTCGAATTTTTCCATTTAAGCTCTTGAAGTATGTTTTTTTTTAACTAATTTACTCATTTTATTTACCATATGAGCATATTCGTCTTTTTCATTTTTGTTTCCAAAAAAAGAAAAAAGTCTCTTACATTTGTGGTCAGATTGCTTTTTGAAGCTTGGATTTATCGATTCAGAACCGACAAAAATTTTTGGATTTTTCTGTATAGTAGCTGCAATTATTCAGTTTTACAAATAGACAGCTGAAAGCTAGATTTTTGTAGTCAATTTCCTCCCATCACTCTTTCAATTATTTACAGTAGAGTTTTGGTGCATTGATGCTATAATTACTATTATTCTATCATATGACACGGTAATGTGTTCGTCGCCTTGTACCCATCTTTGAAATTTGAACTTTCTTGTCGCATACTATAGAGTAGTTTAGTATATCGCTTTTTCAAAATACACATTCTTTTTAATCCGTTATTCACTTAGGTACTCGAAATATCTTCAAATAATGTTAACTTTTAGATACGACTATTTCTCAGGTTTAGTATATAGATAATATTGATGATGGAAAGACAAAAAAACAGAACCCTTAAAATTTTATGGGAATTCAGATTAACTTATTGAACTCACAATTGGGAAGTAAAAAACGTCTTTTCCTCTGGCAGGTAATTTCCTGCCTAGAAAGTTACCAAGTTTGGTTTAAAAATTCCAACGCAAAAAGTTACAAGTAAGCAAGGGTGCTTAATTAGGAGATTTTAGGTGCTCAGGAGAAACCATGATCTGAATTTCTTTATACACTAACACCATCTATCTTCTCGTCGCCGTAGTTCTGCCCGGCCCACTTCTTCATCCGGTCTGTTGTTTGTTCAACCTGCCACGAAAAGTTACGATTCAGGTGCTTTTCTAGAAAAACGCTTCTACAATCTAGAAGCGGTGTTAGAAAGCGCTTTTAAACCCTTCCGGGTAGCAATCTCAGAACACGGACTTGGTATAGATGCCCATGAGAGAATTTAACTTACCTCCTTAGTCCAGTTGGTTCTGTAGAGTATAATCACAAGCATCAATGTTTGAAGAGCAGTCCCGCATATCATGCCTCCCCAAATTCCCTACAATGGTGAACAGATTTTGGGACTATGATTGTCGAAGACATTCGAGGGAAAAAAAACCCGAGCTAGCTAAGGTTCGAATGGCTAAAGAACCGATCAGATTACAACATTTAGCAGTGGAATTGAAACCAAAATGTTTTACCTTCACTCCCCAATCTGCTACATAGCCAAGAACGATACCGAGTGGAAGCCCGAAGATGTAGTAAGAACCCAAGTTTATATAAGCCACCAGTCCCTGCCATCCGCCTCCGATGGCAACACCTGAAAGCATGAATCCGGAATAAAAGATTACAAGGGGAAGGGGTCAGAGATGGAGTTGAACATACATGGTGGACTGCTGAAAAAGGCTAAGAGACCGTATGATAACCATTTCGTTTTCAATTCTTAATTTTTTTTGTCAAACTAAAAACTGAAGACTAAAATGGTTATCAAACAGGTTCTAAGTAACTCAATTGTTACCCGAAATAACTGGTTGGACGCTATTGAGAATCATAGTCACTCCGAGAAGAACTGCTAGATTGGAAACAGAATGTTGCAATTCCTTGCTGGTTGTGAACAGGACAGCAAAGTAGTCTTTGGTTATCAAGATCAGAATCATGCAAATGATTCCGAAGAGCAGAGACTGACCAACCGTCACGTAGACTGCATATTTAGCTGTTCTTGGACGTCCCAATCCAAGTTCGTTGGAGACTCGAACACTGAAAATGCACGAAACAAAAATTAAAATCAGGTCCAGGACATCCTTAATTAATGCCTCAAAAGTGTTTCTTGTGTTACAGGATTGCACATATGAATCTTGGGCACTTACCTTATAGCAGCATTGATGCCAATGAACAACATTGCTTCCAAACCGTTGAAATTTAAGCTGAAACATCAATTGATCAAGTAAAAAAACTGAGTAAAGTATCAGAATTCGAGTGGAGAAATGAAGGAAAACCCTTGGTAAAAACTGACGAGGGCGAGTTGTGGCCTTACCAAATAGTGAGCGAATCAATAGCAAGCACGGCATTATTAAGGTGGCCTGTAACAAGAGTTATACTCATCATATACCAAATCTCCAGGCAAAGCATCACGGCCGACTCAAGTGATAGCCGGACAAACGCCCATATGTCTTTGAACGCCAACCAAGAAAACCCTGTCCACCCTTCCTTGCACCAGTTCATTATGTAAATATTTTGAGCAATCACAGTTTCCCAACCTGTCAAGCTAAACGCAATGCCTATACCATAAATACCCCAATCGAACACGTAAACGAATAGAAAAAGCCATCCAATGTGTACAACAAGCGCGATGAATCCAATCCACATAAGCACGAGAACTTTGCTTTGAGACTGAAGGAACTTCTGGGCAGGGAAGTTGAAGGCAAGTGAGAACAACTGCGGTATGCAATATCTAGTGAATGATCCGGCAAGATTAGCCACGTCATCTTCCTGCCCAAGAAGCTTTAAAATCGGGCCGGAGAAGACATAGAGTGGCGTGAGTATAACACAGCTCGTGAACAGAATGATCCATGATCTTTGCATGTAAACGCCGAGCATGTGCACACGTCCGGCCCCGAAAGCTTGGCCACAAAGCGTCTCTAATGCACTCCCCATGCCAAGCTACAAATATTTGTACATAATATGCATTAGCCGGTGTGAACATGTAAACATTTTGCAATTACGCTTGATGCATAATGAAGCTTTTTCTGAGTAGTGATTTTCACACTTCCGTTTTTTTGTTTCGCACTCCTCTCCTTGTTTATATTTCTCGTGCGACAATCACTTTTGTTTACGCAGTTAGAAACAACAGTGCAATGACATGATAAGATATGAGAAGGGATGAACGACTACATTTTCTTTCTTTTTTTTGGTAATGATAAAAAGAAGGTGCCTCAATTTACAGGGGGGGGGGGCGTGAAAAAAGGTGAGAAAAAAAAAGGCCGAACCATGGGAACTCCAAAACTAAAAGGGCAGTACCAATAATAGCAAAAAACAAAACTAACTGTACCCTAAGGTTTCATAATTGGATGAATTTACACTTTTTGTCGTTATGATTTTTTATTTTTATTTTTTTTTACGTAGTGCTAGTGAGACTAAATTTGTAGATAAAATATACAAACTAAATAATGTGTCAACAATAAGAAATGGACACGTTTATCAAACCAATCATTAACTATCATGTCATTAATTGTCTATAATTTTAGTCTCCTGAACGTTATCACTTTCATTTTCTTGTTGAGTAAATTGTAGCAATGGTCCCTAAACTTTAATCAAATTGGAGCAATGGTCCCTCAACTAAAAATCCATTACCATTGGTCCCTCAACTTATCAAAATGTGTAGCTATAGTACTTTTCATCAATTTCTTCAAAATTTTGTCAAAATATGTTATGTTGGAATAACCATTTATATAATTAGGATCCCTCAACTCATCAAAGTGTGTAATTATGGTCTTTTTCGTCAACTACGTAAAAAATTTTGTCAAAACGAGTTATGTTGGAATGACCATTGCTACAATTGGGTTAAAGTTAAGGGACTATTTCTCCAGTTGAATTAAAGTTGAGGGACCAAAGGTAATGGATTTTTAGTTGAGGGACCATAGCTGCACGTTTTGATGAGCTGAAGGACCAATGGTAATGAATTTTTAGTTGAAGGACCATTGCTCCAATTGAGTTAAAGTTAAGGGACCATAGCTACAATTTACTCTTTCTTGTTTCACGGAAATCAACAAGATTACCCTTTTAATTAAATTTACATATTAAAAAATAATTTAACTAGTTTTATGATATTTAAATATAAAACCGTTGAATTATATTTTTTCAAAGAAATTGATTTACCCAGTTTTGTATCATATATTTTCCTCTCACTCTCACGCACACAACCTTTCATCTTTTACTAGATTTTCTCAACTGTGAAAAGAATACGAGATACTTAAAATTTAAGTAAGAAATACCAACAAAATATATATGAAAAATACTAGGGAAACTATGTTTTATATTTAATATATGATAAAATTATTACTAGATAATGATTAAATAATTGTGACATTGAAAAAGAAATAACGTACCTAACAGTATTTAAGAAAAGAAGAAAAGTAATGCAGAAAAATGCAAAAGCAAAGGGTCAAGTTAAAATTAAACAGAAAAAAACACGGGCAGCTAGAAATTTCAACCAGAGAAACACATATAAAAATATATCATAAATCTAAAGAAGATCTATTTTTTTTTCTTTTTTTTTTCTGAAATAAAAGTTTAAAAACATAAAACGACACCCGCATTGGATGTTTCCGAAATGCGAAAAAATAAGCGCAGACCTGAGTTTACGGTCTTCTACATCCAAGTTAATTAATGTTTCTCCCCGTCAATTAAATTAATTTAGAATCGAATACCGAATTTAAAATTAATTAATATATAAATGAAAACTGAAAATTATGAAAAGGAAATTACCATGAAACCGAATGAGAAGGTGCTGATGACGGAGAGAGAGATGGAGACGGCGGAGAGCTCTAGGTTTCCGAGATGGCCGACAAACATGGTGGAAGCAGTGTTGGTTCCATAGTTGCAGATGATAGTGAAGGCGATGGGCCCTGCAATCTTCCACAGCTTCTTGGTTTCAGTCCACGCCACCGACCGAGCATCCTTGAAGCTCCTCACCGGCTCGTAGTCATGGAACTCGCCGTCGCTCACTCCGTGAAGCAGTGGCGTCTCCATTTGCGTATGTGGTTGTTGCAGGGACGCGTGTGCGGCCCTGAAGAATTTGGAGGTGGCTGCCCACCGGAGAAGATGGCTGTTTTGTGTTTTTTGGCTTTTGGTTTGGTTTAGGTTTGGTAGTGGAAAATGGAAGTGCAAAGTTTTGAGGTTTCTGTGTTACTTTTATAAACTTGAGAGCTGCACGCTTTACATGTTGCTCTGGTTTTGACTTTTACTCTTTACTTTGACACTACAACAAATTTTTTCTTTGGAAAAAATGTGAAACAATTTTTTTGTTCTTCTAGATAGAGATATTTTTCAATGAAACGCCTTATGTTATTATATAAATAGAGGTAAGTTGTTTTTACAAGTATTTTTTTACTTATACTTTGGATGCGGTCCCTAACTATCAATATTCTTTAATCAAAACCTTGTTAGTTTTTAGTTTTTGATTGAGGTCCCTAACATTAATGTAATAATGTAAGTTACTATATTTTTTAAATTAAAAATTAAAAATTGAAATTTGTAATTGTTTATATTAATGAGATTTTAAATAAAACCCATAATTTATGTGATTAAAAATAATAAAATATAAATTATACTCTCTATTATATTGTGTGTGTGTGTGTACATATATGTATGGGTACATTAACCAAAATTAACAAAAAAAGTTATTGTACCAAAACATGGATACATTCTCAAATCAACGAAAAAGAATGTACCCATATAAGTTTAAACATGGATTAAAAAATTTGAATGGATTTTATATTAAAAAAAAGGCTACATTTTACATATAACAAATTGATATATTTGAGAATGGGTACATTTAAGATTAAAAAAATAGAAAAATTATATGAATGGGTACATTTAAGATTAAAAATTGAGAATCTTTATATATATAAACTAATAGGTACAAACTTAATTTAATTTAATTTTTTATTATTTTGGAAATGTTTGAATTGAAAATTAATTAGAAGTTTAATAGAGGTGTGAGTATTAAACCCTAAATTAATTACTAATTTTTATATTAAAAAATTATATAATAAACATGTAAATTCATTATCACATTAATGCTAGGGACATGAATCAAAATTTGATAACTAATAAGGTCTTAGTTAATAAACAGTAAGAACTAGGGACCGGATACTAATTTTTCCTAATTACAATTTACCATAACAAAAACATGTGCTCTCGTATTGCACTCCTAGATAATTATTATGTTTACATTCATTCAATTGTAATTGACAAATTTTTATTTATTAATATTTTTTTTTAACAAACGATATTATCTACATGAATGTAATATTTTATAATGTTAGCCATTTTATGTTGTTTAACGAATTTTTATTGATTATTAGAATCATATTGTTTGCCATTTTATGTTTTTAGTATAATATTTTATAAAATATTAACATGATAATTAATGTTAAATTGTGAAGTGACAAAGAAATCATATAAAGAGTCTCACTATGAGAAAATGTCCTTAACATTTATCCTAAATTTTTATTGTTACTATTGTTATATTATTATACCATCAGATAAGATATTGCTTAAATCCAATACTTCGAGATACGTTTTGCTTTATCTATATACAGAGCCTCCCAAAATCTAAACTACTGAGATTTCGTTTATCTATATACAGAGCCTCCCAAAATCTAAACTACTGAGATTTCGTTTAAAATAATTAAAGATAAAAATATCTCTTGGTGAATGTAAAACATACATACATATAAATATATACACACACACATACATGTATATATATATATATATATACACGCCCTTTAAGGGAAGAGATCCCTATTTTTTCAAAATATATACATACACACACGTACATGTATATACACACACATACATACATATATATATATATATATATATATATATATAGACACATGCCCTTTAAGGGAAGGGAAGGGATTCCTATTTTTCAAAAAAATGGGGACACCCTCTTGACCATTAAATTTGACTTTAATGAAATTATGTGGCTGAAATTAAATCACAGGCTACAGAATCTCAACCATAGAATTTTATTAAAGTCAAATCTAACGGTCAAGATGATGCCCTCATTTTTTTTGAAAATTGGGGATCCCTTCCCTTTTCATATATATATATATATATATATATATATATATATATATATATATATATATATACACGCCCTTTAAGGGAAGAGATCCCTATTTTTTCAAAATATATACATACACACACGTACATGTATATACACATACATACATATATATATATATATATATATATATATATATAGACACATGCCCTTTAAGGGAAGGGAAGGGATTCCTATTTTTCAAAAAAATGGGGACACCCTCTTGACCATTAAATTTGACTTTAATGAAATTATGTGGCTGAAATTAAATCACAGGCTACAGAATCTCAACCACAGAATTTTATTAAAGTCAAATCTAACGGTCAAGATGATGCCCTCATTTTTTTTGAAAACTGGGGATCCCTTCCCTTTTCATATATATATATATATAGGAATTGCTTAAGGGGAGGGATCCCCATTTTTTTCAAAAAAATGGGGACACGCTCCCCACCGTTGGATTTGAATTAAATGAAATCCTGTGGTTGAGATTCTATGACCTGTGTTTTAATCTCAACCACACAATTTCATTAAAGTCAATATAACGGTGGGGAGCGTGTCCCCATTTTTTTTGAAAAAATGGGGATCCCTCCCCTTAAGCTCCATGTATATATATATATATATATATATATATATATATATATATATATTAATAGAACTCTAGTTGTCAACTAAAAGAGGGTGAAAAACTATTTAGTGTTCTATCACAACAAAAAAGTTTAAATTTTTTTTCTGTTTTTAATTTAAGCATCACCTCACTCCCTCTCTCCCAACTCCCACCTTCTCTCTCACTCTCTTTCTCTCTCATTCAATTTTTAAAATAAAAATAAAAAATTTCACACACACTTTGTGTGTGGGCATATACTAGTATAATCTATCGAAGCTATCTAATCAAGTTTTATGTGCAGATTTTTTATGTTGGCATGCCTAATAACCCCCTTCCTTGTAAAATTCGACAACTTAACCCACTAATGTTATCGTTTGTAAAACAAATGGAGATTTAATCAAATTAATCAGCTACCTAATGCTTCAATGGGTTAGGTCTCCGCAGACCATGTCATATACTATTTAATTTATAATTTGGTTAATGGAGAAAAGTTTCAATGTGATAGGAACACCGTTCGGTACGTCAAGTGTTATAATACAAGTATTCAACCCTTATATTTATGACATTTGATGTAACCGTCTATGTTTTTGGCACACTAAAAACCTCTTACGGTTACTGGTGTTCATTTTTCTCCATCTTAATTGGTCATGCATGGGTAACGTTGACATGTGGTTAACTTTTATTGGTGCATGCGACAAGTACTCACAAATTAGTTTCCATAATTTGTGAGACATTAGCTCCACCAAGTCAATTTTTGGGTTGAAAAAATAATCCCAAGTAAAATTACATCACTTACCATATAATATGATTGTGGCCTAAAGAGCTAAAACTTGAAACTAATCAGGCACGTCTCATGACCTAAATATGTCACATAACAAATTATTCAACCCTTATATTTATGACATTTGATGTAACCGTCTATGTTTTTGGCACACTAAAAACCTCTTACGGTTACTGGTGTTCATTTTTCTCCATCTTAATTGGTCATGCATGGGTAACGTTGACATGTGGTTAACTTTTATTGGTGCATGCGACAAGTACTTACAAATTAGTTTCCATAATTTGTGAGACATTAGCTCCACCAAGTCAATTTTTGGGTTGAAAAAATAATCCCAAGTAAAATTACATCACTTACCATATAATATGATTGTGGCCTAAAGAGCTAAAACTTGAAACTAATCAGGCACGTCTCATGACCTAAATATGTCACATAACAATATTCCTTCTTGGTAATCGTCATTAGATTTTGAATAATCATGAATTAACCTTCAGACCAACTAATTTTTCATCTCATGGTACTCATGATCTTAATATTAGAAGAGTTTTCAAGTTCGAATCTTCACACTTTCAATAATAAAACATAAAAACTCAAACCAGTGTCGACCACAAATATTTGAGTCGAATAATCCACCACACAATCACCTAATGTAGTAAGTGAACCATAAAGTTATTGTCATTTGTGTATTATCTTTCACTTATATTAAAAAAAAAAAAAAAAAAAAAAGCGTGACCTCACGCCCTACGTACTCCCCCTACCTACCAATCGTTCGTAAGACTTGAAGTTTTCATCTCAAAGAATGGACTGTTAGGAATAAATTGGACTACCAATACCATCACAATCCATTATGCGATGCGATGCGAAGCAACGTAGTTACTCTTTGTACCAGTTGTGAATGGTCCACGTATACGTAGGTTGGTTTTATAATTTGCACAAGATCGCTAGCATTACCTTCGGTCTTCGACTCGGTGGAGTTTCAGAGGTAAAAAAGGGAGGACAAGGTTGGTAATATCATCGGTGCTTACTAGTCCACGCCTCCCCTGCTAAAACACTGTTTATTTGCTGACAGATACTGGTTATTAACTTATTAATTGGAATCAGTTACGCCAACCATTGTTTAGCTAAGTTGTGTGGTGTGATGGTGTTGAATGAAGTTCCGTTTGATATTTTATTCAGGACGTCATTTTTCACGATTATATTTGTATGAGTTTCAGTTTAATGTATCGTCTTCGTATCAAAGTATAAGATATTTGCTGATTGACATATGGGTTATAATGCTTAATCATTCCTTATTAATTTGAATCAGCTACACCTAGCGCTATAATATGTATTTCTGTTTATTTTTTATTACAAGTGATATTATAACATACTCTAAGCTACATTAAAAAAAGAGAATTGTTTGAACCTGAGACGAAGTGAATTGAAAAGAATTTTTTATCCAACAGAGCCATCTACCATTTGCCTCCGTCTCTCATCGTTGGAAACATTGTTTTAAAATTTTGAGCCGAACAACTTGAGAATTCCTAGCCATTAATGGATGATTTTATTCCAGAAAATTAAGGAATATTGTTATACAACCAACGTACTCTTTTGGACCAACTTATGTTAGAATTTGTTGTAGCCATTACTGCCAATGCCAATAGTCATAAGAAATAAAATTCGATTTCCGCGAAACATAATAGTCGTTGTTCAGAAGGTAATCGAACACTTGACTTCAAATTTATGAATAAATACGTACTACTAAACTTATTGTTCTAAAAATTCTTCCCTAACGCCGTCTAGACCCTGCCTAGGCCTGAGCGCTAGGTGGCTGGCCACCGCCCCGATTAGTTCCTAGGCATTTGAAAATTAAGAAAGTTCGCCTAGACTCTCATAGGCGTCCTCCTCGTCCGCCACCTAGCCCGCCTAAACCTGCCTAGGCATCGTTTAGGTCTCAACTCTCACTTAGATAGAAAATCGACAACTGTTATTTTGCATTTTATTTTTTTAATAAATGTAAGAGACTTGTTGAATACTCATTATATACTTGCTCTCATATTTTCAATATATTCTAATACTTTATAACTTATATGTCATTTTATTTTGTAATTTATGTATACAATTACGTGTTTTTTAAGTAGAAATATGCACTTGTTTTTACAATATATATAATAAATTTACTTAAATTCGTCTAGTCCACCTAAACGCTAGGTCCCAGTCCGTTGCCCGACTAGCGCCTAACGTCTTTTAAAACCTTGCTTAAACTATAAACTCCTTACTGCAAAGAATAAAAAATATGGATAAAATAAAACCCTCAAAATCACCCTCGACTCAAAATAAGATTGGTTTTCTTTCAAATTTTTATTGTTGCTTCAATATCTCAATTTTAATAATGAAATCGTTATTTTGTTTTCCCTGAAAAGTTATTTTGATTTTTGGGTCCACTTTGTGAAATCTACATTCTGATATTGTGACCCTACATCTGTTATTTTCTCACCCTTTGAGTCAGATCCTGCACGGGATGTAATATTGTTGTAATTAGGAGGCAAAAGGAAAGAACATAATGAACATTTCCGCTGCCAATAGAATCGAAACCTTTTGGTGAAGATCGTTATAAAAAATAAAAATAAAAAATAAAAAGAAGATTTTACACCCATTGTCATGTGCATGCAATTAAATTATAAATTAAATTAGTAGTAGCCGCATAGATTCTTTGGACCATGTTTGTACAAGATTCAGCCCAACACGCATAGTGCTAGTGGATTTTACACACTCAGGAGTCAAGAAACAAACAAGAAGATTTTGTTATTGTGGGAAAGTTCATAGTTTCTCGTAGTACTGGTAACCGCATAATGTCTTCAAGGTGAACGACTTGGGATCAATGAAACAAGGTAAGCTAAGTCGGATGAAAAATAGAGTTGACCTAAAGAAAGGGATTGGCTCTCAAGAAATGGAGACAGATGTCTTAGCTCGGAATCTGTGTGCCGTCTCATCGTGACCTTTTCGTTATTTTTGGTCGGACTAGATGGGAGAGTGGAGGCAGAAAGCCTCAACTTTGACCACAATGAGAAGTGAATGTTGAAGAAGTACATAAAACATTGGCAAATAAAGCCTCACTCTGCCCAAAATATACCGATACAAAAGCATGAGTACAATGCAACGCAGTCACTCTTTGTACCAGTTGTGAATGGTCCATGTACGTAGGTTTTATAATTACACAAGAATCTGCCAGCATTACCTTCGAGTCTTCGATCGACTTAGTAGATTTTCACTGGGAAAAAGGAAAAACAAGGTTGGTAGTATCATTGGTGTTTAGTTATCCACGTCTCCTCTGTTTATTAATTTGAATCAATTACACTAACCATTGTTTAGCGAAGTTGGTGGTGGGATGGTGTGGAATGAACTTCCATTTGATCTTATTCAGGACGTCATCTTTCACAACTATATTTGTAAGCGCCATAATTTTTTTTTTTTTTTTGTTTTCCTCACATTACTTTTGAAATTATACGCAATATTATTACTCAAGATAATTAGATGAATTTTATTTTAAACACATGGAGAGTATAAAATCACAGAGTAGACTGGTAAAGCCATTGCCTTCCAGATTCCGAAAGGAAAATCTCTATTCTGTTATGTCGTACCGCCGAGGGTTTTTATTTTTTTTTATTTTTTATTTTAAAGGAGAATTGTTTGAACCTAAAACACAATAGATTGAAGAGAAATTTTTTTATCCAACTAGCAATCTACCACTTTCTTTCGTGGACCATCATTAGAAACATTGTTTTAAAAGTTTGGGCTGAGTAATATTGTTATGAGAAATTCTAAAAAGACTCTCTTAAAAGTGGGACTATTCATATACTTTCTATATCTCATGTTTTGACATAATATTTTATAGGGTTAAACTTTGTTTACTACTCTTATGTTTCGCGGTTTTCAACATTTAGTAAAGTTTTTTTTATTCTAGAGTCATACCTAAAGTGTTAATTTTAAGACAGTCTCATACATCCGTTAGTCAAACTGTTAATTCTCCCGTTAAGTGATGATGTGGCGCCCATATGAACAATGATTGGATGCCATGTGTCATTAAAAATATTAAAATAATTAATTAAATAAAAGTTAAAAAAAAAACCATCCCTTCTCCTCCTCCCCCCCCCCAAAACCCAGAAGAAGAAGAAAAAAAAAAGAATTTGCAACCCAGAAGAAGAAGAAGGAAGAAAAGAAGAAAAAAAAAAAACCGAATTTGCAACCTAGAAGAAAAAGAAAAAAACCCCATCCCTTCTTCCCCCGCACCCCCAACCCAGAAGAAGAAGAAGAAGGCAGGTGGGTCGCCGGGGGGGGGGGGGGGGAGGGGGACGAACTGGGTTTGGGCTGCTGTTATTTTTCTTCTTCTTCTGAGTTGCAGATTCGGTTTTTTTTTTTTTTTTTTTTTTTTTTTTTCTGGGTTGGCGGAGGCGGGGGGAGAAGGGATGGTTTTTTTTGTTTTTTTTTTTAACTTTTATTTAATTAACTATTTTAATACTTTTAATGACATGTGGTGTCCAGTCATTGTCCAGATGAGCGCCGCGTCATCACTTAACGGAAGAATTAACAGTTTGACTAACGGATGTATGAGACTATCCCAAAATTAACACTTTAGGTATGACTCTGGGACGAAAAAAACTTGATGTACTAAATGTTGAAAACCACGAAACATGAGGATAGTAAACAGAGTTTAACCCTATTTTATAAATTAACTTTACACTATGAAATGACTAGTCCATAAAGAGTCTCACTTTGAAAACCTCCTTAGCATTTCTCGTTAGTTATACAACGTCCTACCTTGTACTCTTTTGGCCCAACTTATTAATGAATGTTATAATTCGTTGTAATGTTAGTTATACAACGTCCTACCTTGTACTCTTTTGGCCCAACTTATTAATGAATGTTATAATTCGTTGTAGCCACTTCTGCCAAAGCCAATAGTCATAAGAAACAGAGTTCGTCTTTTGCGAAACACAATAGCCACTGTTCACGAGGGAATCAAACACATGATCTGAAATTGTGACCCTACGTCTATTATTTTCTCACCCTTGAGTCATAAATCCTACACGGGCTGTAGTATTGTTGTAATTAGGGGTCAAAAGGTGTTGAAGAATATAATGAACGATTCCACTGCTAAATGTATCGAAATCATTTGTTTAAGATCTCACACGTGTTGTTATGTGCATGCAATTAAGTTATAAATTTGAGTAGTAGTGGCTCGTTGAATCACCTCTAGGATCTTATCAAAAAGCTTTAAAACACATCAAAACCTACACAATGTCCTTGGGGGTAGTAAAGTACATAGTTTCTCGTTGTATTGGTAACTGCATAAAGGTCTTCAAGGTGAACGGGTTATGGTCAATGAAATAATGTAAGCAGGAGAACTCGGATAAAAAACAGATTTGTAACTTAGAAGAAGGATTGGCCTCTCAGAAATGAAGATGGAGGTCTCAGTTCGTAAACTGTTGGCCGCCTCATCGTGACCTTTTTGTTCTTTTTGGTCAGACTAGATGATGGACTGAAGGCAGAACGCCTCAACTTCGACCATAATAAGAATTGAATGTTGAAGAAGTACATTAAACATTGGCACATACCCTAAATATACAGATACGAAAGAGATACAAAAGCACGAGTTTTCTTTCATTTTATGCAGCAATGTGCATCAAGGATCTATGCTAATTTCATGATATATTTTTATATATCTTGTCAGTTTTTATTTCTTGGCTTCCCCACTTCTTTATGCGCTTTGTTGTTTGCTCCACCTGCATTATAAATAAGAAATTCAGTTACGAATTTGAAATAGTTTAGTTGGTTAGGGTAGTGTGTTAGTCTCATTCCATCCGAGTTCGTATCCCTTCTAGATAAATTAGAGTACGATAGAATATCGTTATATACTGATGAGTACCTCTCTGTCCCAGTTAATTCTACAAGTCAGAATCAGCAGGAAGAAGATCTGAAGAGCATTTCCACTCATCATCCCACCCCAAAGTCCCTATGCAGCACATAAAATTAGATTGAAAACCAAAGAGTAATTAATTAGACTGAAATGAAAATAATTAAATAAGGGTAGGATTGCTTATTACCACAGCTCCAAGATTTGCTTTGAAGCCAAGAAAGATGGCTAACGGGAGCCCAACCAAATAACTACCAAAATTTATATAAGCCGCCATCACTTGCCATCCACCTCCAATAGCAACTCCTACCAAAAAAAAAAAAAATGATTACCAATTAGGGCTACAAATTAAGTTAATTAAGGAGACTAATTAGCTAATTAGGGAGACTCATTGGAAGGTTAAAACTTGTTGAAGTGATTATACCTGTTAAGACTTGTGTAGCACTGGTAATTAAGAAGCATGGTTACACCAAGAAGGTATGCTAAACGAGCAACGGCGAGCTGCATCTCTCCACTGCTGGTGAAAATCATGGCACTGTAGTCTCTGCTTATGAAGATAGCAACCATGGCTAAAACCCCGACGATGAGAGCTTGCAAGACTGCAACGCAGACGGAGTATTTGGCTGCTCTCGGGCGCCCCATCCCAAGTTCGTTCGAGACTCGTGTGCTATGTGCAGATGGTAGATCATTAACAATGTGATACTAATTAGAAACACCAGAAAAAATGGAAAGCACATTACTTGACAAATAACATAGCAGCATGTATTTACCTTATAGCAGCATTTATTCCAAGCAACAACATAAGCAACAACATAACTTCCCAATTCCAAAAATTCATGCTGAAAGAAAACAAAAATGAAGCAATGAGCACCTCTTGTCACTCGTTTAAGTCGTTTACAAGGTATAATGTTGGATAGTGGCCAAATTAGTGGCCAAGTGGACAACAAGTCAACTCTCCTTTCGGCTATTAAACAAACCAAAAGAATGAAGGACATAATGATGTGGGAACATCATTAGGAGGTTTTCCTTTATGATGTGGCCACATGAGTGGAAATTATGATGTTTGTTCCTTTTGTTTATATTAAGGCATTTGGTTATGCCTTTGGTTTTGGGGGTTGGGAACGGCAGATTAGAGAGAAGAAGAGGTGGGTTACTGTTTTCTATCCTCCATTTGTTTGTAATCCCCTTTTGTTAGTAATCCCTCAATCAAAGATGTTGCTGCTACATTTTGTGGCTTTTGGGAGAGATGGTATTTGATGTGTGTCTATCTTCTCCAATTGTTCTTTGTGAGAGTGAGAGCTATTGGGTGTATGTGGGATTTGGGTTTGAGAGTTAAAACTCTATTTGTAATCTCCTTTTGATATTAGTGGAATTTCCTCGCCGTCTCTGAACTGGACGTAGGCTTACGCCGAACTAGTATAAATCCTTGTGTCATTTGGATTATTTGTCTTGTCATACTTTGCCATATTAGCTTATTGGTTTCATATTTGACGCTTCCGCACAACAAGTGGTATCAGAGCTCTGGGTTTCGACTAGGGGCTTTGTACTAGTATGTCTATGAAACCTTCGAATATGTCGGTGAAATATGATATTGAAAAATTCAATGGGAGGAATGATTTTAGCCTGTGGCGGGTTAAGATGCGAGCTGTGCTAGTTCAACAAGGGTTGCTTAAGGTGCTACAGGGTGTGGAAGCCTTGCCACAAGATTGGTCTGCTGAAGAAAAAGAAGACGCTTTGAATCAAGCACATAGTGCAATTATGTTATCACTATCTGATGAAGTTCTTCGTGAGGTGGATAATGAAACTACTGCAGCTGGTTTGTGGCTTAAGTTGGAGAGTATATATATGACCAAATCCCTCACCAATCGTTTGTATTTGAAGCAACATTTGTACACTCTCCATATGATTGAAGGTACACCTATTCAAAACCATCTTGATGAGTTTAATAAGGTTATTATGGATTTGAAAAGTATGGATAATAAAATTGATGATGAGGATCAATCTTTGATTTTGTTGTGTTCTTTACCTCCTTCGTATGCGAATTTTGTTGAAACTTTGTTATATGGGAGAGATTCTATTTGTAAGGAGAATGTAAAAGCCGCTTTGAATTCAAGAGAGTTAAAGAACAAAGTATTTGAAAATTTGAATGATTCTCATTCCGAGGCTTTGATAGCAAGAGGCAGAGATATGGAATATGGTTCATGTAGTAATAGAGGAAATTTGGGATCGAAGTTTAAGACCAGAAACAACACATGCAACTATTGTCGCAAGGAAGGGCATTGGAAAGTTGATTGCCCAAAACTGAAAGATAATGTTGGTGCTAGTGCGAATGTCATCGATGACGACTTCGACTTTGTTCTATGATGACAGTTGGCTACACCAGATTTGAAAAAAAAAAAAAAAAAAAAAGGAATCTGGTGTTGTGGGTACTCTTGAATCTCTTCGCTGCATATGGAGATTTAAGAGTTTGTAAGGATTCTTTTGTTATGATGTGTTTGTGTTTTGTCAGTTGCCTCTTCATTGTTTTTTGTTTGTTTTGGATATTGGTATGGTTTTTCCTTTTGGTAGAATTGTATTCAGTGAGAACCAATTTGTTGAGTTCTGCAAGGATTTGATAGTGAGACACCTAATGCGGAACATTTGTGTGGAACCCTCTTGTAGAAGGCAAGTTATATGCTTTCTAACTTTGGTCTATGGACATTTGGTTGGATTTGTTTGCCACTGCTATTTGGTTTGTTGGTCTCTAGCATCTGAAATATGCTTTGTTGAAGACTCCAGTTGAGCTATGGTTTTGGATCTCCTACTGATTATTTGAATTTGAAATATTTGGTTATCCTATTGGTGCTCATGTGATGATGGTAAACTTGAGTGAAGGGCATAATATTGATATTCATAGGATCTGAATTTGGGTGAAAGGTTTTGTATGTGGTATGTTAAACCTTGTTGCCAAATTTTGTAATCAATTTTGACTTGGAGAATGTGCCATGCTATGTGAATGAGTCTATTGGTGCAGTTTAAGACCATGGTGTTTGTGAGCAGGTGGAGTTCGTTGTGTGTCCAACTTTGGTATGGTGTGCTTGATCTTTTGTTGGTGATATTGAAGAATTTCAGTTCTTCGTTTGAATCACCTTTGTTTTGATCAAGGCACTTATGGTTTGCAAATTTGGAGAAGACGGTAGAGAAATGGTCTACTTTTGTTGGCTTTGGTACAATTTGAGTCGAGGTGGAGATCATTATGAGTACCGAGAGTTTGGGGAATTTGATTTAGTTCCCATTGTCTTTAGTTTGTACTTTGGGTGCTTATGGTGATTGTTGATTCGATTCTCTATGATGTTTTCGGAATTTGGCCAAAGTGGAAATTGTTGGATAGTGGCCAAATTAGTGGCCAAGTGGACAACAAGCCAACTCTCCTTTCGGCTATTAAACAAACCAAAAGAATGAAGGACATAATGATATGGGAACATCATTAGAAGGTTTTCCTTTATGATGTGGCCACATGAGTGGAAATTATGATGTTTGTTCCTTTTGTTTATATTAAGGCATTTGGTTATGCCTTTGGTTTTGGGGGTTGGGAATGGCAGATTAGAGAGAAGAAGAGGTGGGGACTGTTTTCTATCCTCCATTTGTTTGTAATCCCCTTTTGTTAGTAATCCCTCAATCAAAGATGTTGCTGTTACATTTTGTGGCTTTTGGGAGAGATGGTATTTGATGTGTGTCTATCTTCTCCAATTGTTCTTTGTGAGAGTGAGAGCTATTGGGTGTATGTGAGATTTGGGTTTGAGAGCTAAAACTCTATTTGTAATCTCCTTTTGATATTAGTGGAATTTCCTTGCCGTCTCTGAACTGGATGTAGGCTTACGCGGAACCAGTATAAATCCTTGTGTCATTTGGATTATTTGTCTTATCATATTTTGCCATATTAGCTTTTTGGTTTCATATTTGACGCTTCCGCACAACAAATAAGTCGTCTGCAAGGGATTCTATCCGCACATTAGTAGAAATTGTCACTATTCTAAAAATCCCTGCCTAGGCCTCGCCTAAGCGCTAGACTGCTGGTCATCATCCCAATGAATGCCTAGGCGTTTGGAAATTAAGAAAGGGCGCCCAAACCTACTGAGGCACCTGCCTAAACTGCCTGGGCACCCGCCTAGCCCACCCAAACCACTAGGCACCAGCCTAGGTTGCAACTCATTTAGACCAAAAATAGATAGCTTTCATTTTACATTTTATTTTTTTCTAATAAACTGTAAGAGACTTATTGTATACTTAAATGAACACACGTTATATGCTTGTTCCCCATGTTTTTTCATTATGTTCCAATACTTCATAATAAATATGTCATTTTATTTTGTAGTTGATGATGAAATTATATACATTTTAAGTATAAACAGACACTTATTTACACGAAATAAAATAGATTTACTTAAATCCACTTAGTCCGCCTAGTCCGCCTAGTCCGTCTAGGCGCCCGCCGCCCGCCGTCCTACTAGCATCTTTTGGAATCTTAAAAATTGTAATAACTTACCATATAGAAAAGGAACCAACATCAATGACTGCATTTGGAAGCAGACCGGCGAGAAGGCTTATACTCATCGAATAACACAAACCTAGGCAAACCATCATACAAGAAGCAAGTGACAGCTTAGCAAAATCCCAAATATCACGAAACGCCAACAATGAAAATCCATTCCACTCCTCTTTGCAGCAGACCATAACATAACCAACTTGACCAATTGCAACTCCCCAGTTTGTGATGTCACAAGTTACAGCTGCACCAGTTGTTCCCCAGCCAAAGACATTGATGAAGAGATAAAGTAGCCAGGTTTGTATGACCAGAGCCACGAATGCGATCAGCGTGACATGAGAACCTTGCTCTGAGCCTGGAGGAACCTCTGAGTGGGCAAATTGATAGCATAGGAAAACATTTGAGGGATTGTCTTTAGGCTGTATACTCCAGCAAGATTCGCCATGCCATGTTCTTGGCCTGAAAACTTTAGGATCGGAGCGGCAAAAAAAAAAAAAAAAAAAAAAAAACTGGCAAAAGGATATGCAGATGATGAATAACATAATCCATGAGCGCTGCATATAGATTCCTAGCTTCCCTGCTTGGCCTGCTCCATATGCTTGCCTACTTGACTCGGATACGTATCGGTTGCGTATCCGTAGGTATCTCCCCACGTATCCGTATCCCAGCGTGTCAGATATGGGATACGTTGGTCTTCCCCCGTGTCCATGCATCATAGACAGCAACAACGTAAATAAGCAGCAATAAAACCGGTTACAAAATTATAATTGAAAATATAACCAGACCGACACCAAACTGACCGTAAAAGGTTAATTGTGTGTACTGTGCTTACCAGGAAACCAAAAGGGATGATGAAAATGACACTGAGGGAGAGAGAGACAGCAGAGAGCTCGACATCTCCGAGATGACCGACAAAGACGGTGGTTATGTGGACTGAATCAGGTATTGAAAAAGAGAAGTGTAGGCCACCGGAGCTGCAATTCTCCAGAGCTTCACAGCCTCTTTCCTAGAGACCTCCATAGCCTCCCCAAAGCTCCTCACTGGAGCATAATCAGCAGCTGCTGCCGCCTCTGCATTGATTTTCAGCAATGGTGTTTCCATTGAGAGATTCAAAAGGGTTACTACTGCTGATGCTTAGCTCCAACAAGTTATAGTTGGAGTTGTGGGGTTATTCTCTCACGTGATTTTTGTTTTAATATCTATGATTTTATTTAACTAATTTTTTTGTTTTTACAAACAATATTCTACATTAAACTAATTTAAGTTGTATAAAACGGTTTGCACTGAGTATAAGAGAACACATCCATCCAAACCAACATGACTACGCCCACTTCCACAAAGCCTAAGCAACAAAGATAAAGCAAAATCAGATGGGGAGACGGCCAATCAAGTCACAAAAGCAATTTACATAAAATAACTTTACCGCCGAGAGCATCAAGCTACTGCATAAACCACCTGTCTATTTTTGGCTCCGAGTGTTTGAAGCGTAGTGTTAGTACAAAAATTTCACAACGTGTGGTCTGAATTTGAAAGAGTAGTGAAATCGATACCTAAATATTTCAGCAGGTCCTACAAGCATAACTGTCTATATACTGTGCCTTCCTCTAGATCCTAAAATATCTAATTTTCAATGAAAAAGAAAATTGTAGAAATGGTCGCTCAACTTTAACTCAACCAGTGGAATAAACCCTTAACTAAAAATCTATAACCATTGATTCCTTAACTCGTCACAACATAATTTCGTCAAAATTAGAAGGATTAAAGTTAAAGGATCATTGCTCCAATTGTGTTAAAGTTGAGGGACAATTTCTCTGATTGGGTTAAAGTCGATGGACCATTACTATAGTTTTTCTCATTTGGTTTTCCATATTTGCCTCTTGAGTCAACCTCACATGGGTGACAAGTAACTCATTTTGAAGGAAGTTCTAATGGAGTTGACGGAAATGATCATAGGTGCATATTTTGATGAGTTACGGGATCAATGGTCCCTGATTTTTAGTTGAGGGACTATTACTCTAATTGAATTAAAATTGAGGGACCATTACTACAATTTTCTCTTATTAATATAATCCAGTGGGGATATTTATTGACCACAAAAAAAAAACAATCCCTCGGGGTATTTGTCTTTGTAATGAAGATCATATACGTTTAGCTCCACTCTCGGTTTTGATGTCTTGCCCACCCCACTTATGGACGCGATTTTTTGCTTGCTCCACCTGCAATTTAATTACGATTCCAATCAATAAGGAACTTCAGGATATACAATGCAATGCAGAAACCAAAGTTGAAGAGATTTGAAATAAAGAATTGATTAATTACCTCTTTGTTCCAATTAGTTTTGTAAAATATAATTAGCAGAAGTATGGTTTGGAGAGCAGTTCCACATATCATGCCTCCCCATAGTCCCTACAATATTAATCAAATAACTCATCAAGTACTCGTTGTGGGAGTTGCCAAATTATCTTAGACATCATTGAAAGAAGAAAAATAATATTTATTTACCATGACTCCCCATTTTGCAACATGGCAAAGAAGGTATCCAAGAGGAATTCCAAAAATGTAGTAACAACCCAAGTTTAGATAGGCAACCATTGTCTGCCATCCACCTCCAATTGCAACACCTTCAAGAACAAGCAAGTCAACAAATGCATCAAAATATGCTTGCATGCGCACATGCAACACATATATCATAGATTTTATGTGCATGATGATCCATTTTGGTTATTATATAGTATATATAACATGCATAACGAGATACCTGATATTACTAGTTGGACACTGTTGAGCACCATAGTTATACCGAGAAGGTATGCCAACTTAGCAACCGCTTGTTGCAACTCCTGGTCACTTGTGAAAAGCATAGCGAAATCATCTCTAGTCATTAAGACAATAATCATGAAAAGAATTCCGATCAATAGTGATTGAAATACTGTCACATAGATAGAGTATTTTGTTGCTCTGGGACGTCCTGACCCAAGTTCATTAGAGACACGAACACTGCAGAAGAAGATAAAGTTATTATAGACACTGTAAATAATCAATGACAAGTGCAAGATAAATATCATAAAACTAATAGTCTAATGCATTACGTGCCTTATTGAAATATTTATTCCAACGAACAACATTGCTTCCCACCCATTGATGTTCATGCTGTGGAGACCCAAAAAAGAAAGAATGCTATTAGAAATCAAAAGCTATCATATACCATAAAAAGAGAACTTACCTGCACTAGATACGTGCATTGTCATGTGTTTTAACTTTCACACATAGCAATATGCATTATTACCCTGTGCAGTTAAGTAACATCTATTTATGAAAAGAGTATAGGTAGTTAACTAAAAAATTTAAAATATTAATTACCAAATAGAAAGAGAACCAATGGCTATAACTGCATTAGAAAGACTGCCGGTGAGAATTAGTATACTCATCATGTACCAAATCTCAAGGCAGAGCATGACTGCGGAGGCAAGAGAAAGTCTTACAAATTCCCAAATGTCCTTGAAAGCGAGCCATGAAAATCCAGTCCAACCCTCTTTGCACCAACCCATAATATACACAACTTGAGCAATTGCCATCCCCCATCTTGTAATGTTAAATGACACAGCTGCGCCCAATGTGCCCCAATCAAACTCATACATGAAAAGCCCTAGCATTCCAATGTGTATAACCAGACCTAAAAATGCAATCCATGCCAGCACCTTTACTTTTCTCTGAGCTTGGAGGAACTTCTGAGCTGGGAAATATATGGCAAGTGAGAATATTTGAGGGATTATTTGGAGTGTGAATTTTCCGGCTAGGTTCGCTATGTCATCTTCTTGGCCTAGCCACTTTAAAATCGGCACGGCGAAGATGTAAACCGGCAAAAGGAAGAGGGTGGTTACAAATAGAATTATCCATGATCGTTGCAGGTAGATCCCAAGCATATGAACCTGTCCAGCGCCAAACGCCTGTCCACACAATGTCTCCAGGGCACTCCCCATCCCAAGCTAAAATTTCATTTCAGACAAATAAGTTTTTTGTATTCGGTACATTGATAATTTGACAATATCACATACATGGTATAGTACTATTTTCAATAAAATCACATGTATACGATATAGTACTATTTTCATTGTTAGATTTTAGTCATTGGGAAGTTTCAAATGCGTCAACGTTTTTTGTACCATGTGTTTCAACAAAAGCTACCTAATTATTACGATAAGTTCTAACAAACAGTCTAACAATATAATATGTCAAATATCGCGTGTTTGAGAGAAGGGGAATTACAAAGGGAAGGAGATTAAGTACCATCAATCCATCAGTGAATGTGGAAATGACAGCCAGAGAAATCGAGATGGCGGAGAGCTGGATAGTTCCGAGATGACCGGCAAAGAGCAGGATGACTGCGTTAGTCCCATACATACAGATGATAGTGATCACTGACGAAACGCCTATTTGCCACAGCTTTACCGTCTCTATCCAAAACATACGCTGGAACGCATCAAAGCTCCTCACCGGTGCGTAGTCTTCGTTCCCGCCTTCATAAAGAGGAGGTCTATTGCTCAACTCATCGGCGCCGGCAGCAGCTGTGTGAAGCAGCGGCTCCTCCATTTGTTAATTAGGTTTGAGATTTGAGTTTGAGAGATTTGGTACCTTAGTTTGTAAATGTGTTCTGTAAATAACATATTTGGTCAGAATAAATCTTTCATCGACAGAATGTAAAATATAAATAGCTTTCCTTGTACAACAAGAAGACTAGAAATGCAACAAAGGAAAGTAACAAATACAAATCAATCATATAACTCCTTCCTATCTAATTACATTGACTTTCTAACAATTTCTAGTTACCAATGCTTTTCTTTATCGTTCCGCTCTTCAGGGTGTTAAAAAGTCACACACACACAGGGATTACTCACTTTCTATAGCAGCCCAGAAATGTCTCACTTTCTATAGCAGCCCAGAAATGTTACAGAAAGTGTTGCAAAGCATTTTCTCTAATGCTATACTAGGCCATGCTATAGAAAGAATAAAACTCTCTATAGCATTTTTCAATTGTTATAGAAAAATGCTATGAAATGTTTTTTTATAGTATTTATTAAATGCTATAAAATAACATCTGTAGCATTTTAAAAATGTTATAATCCCACTTGATAATATTTAAAAAAATGCTATGACAAAATTTACTATGGCAATTCCAAAATGCTATCAAAAGTTTACAATAGCATTTTTCAAATGTTGTCATAGCTTTTATTGCATTCTTGTACTATCCATAGCATTTGGCAGTGTTTAGGAAACATCTATAGGGAGTTATGGAATCATTGTACAATCACATATCATTTCAGAAACACTTACTAAATCAAGGAATCTTTTTTTATTCCTAATTACCAAAGTAATAACACTATTCAATTATTTACAATTATATGATATCTCAATTTTTTACAAAGAGAATTGAACTAAACAAATACAACCATATTCTAAATTTTTCATCTCTGCTTTTTAACCATTGCAGCAGCTTCACTTTCATTTCTCACTCACTGTAATAGTAGAGATCAAAGTCACTTAATGATGAAAATCCCTCAAAATAGACTACACATATAATCAGCATAAACAGACATATCTTCACTAAGCAGAAACTGAACAAAAAAGAAGAAACAACTAGAGCAAAATTCCCAAATATGACCAAATCCGATTGCAAGCAGCAACATTTGATACAATCTAATAATGTCAATAAAGAGTCATTATTCCTAGCAACATTTGATAGAAACCTGATCATTATAACTTATAACCAAAGTTTGTATATAGATATGCGAACATATATGTGGAATTAGAACAAGCAAGTTCTGGTGATTACATACCTCTAAAACTATCGTGAACGTAGCCCAATTATGGGTGAGCCACTATATATCTTCAAGCTTATATTATAATCCTCTGCACTTCATATCGTTCATCCCATTGTATCTTCTATGCATCCTCTAAGTTAACCCTATCAATTTTTAGCGTTAACACGGTGCAATGTACAATACTTTTAGGGTAAAAGACTGTTTACCACCCTCATATTTCGTGGTTTTCAACATTTAGTACATCAAATTTTTTTTCGTCCCAGAGTCATACCTAAAGTGTAAATTTTGGGACAGTCTCATACATCTGTTAGTCAAACTGTTAGTTCTCCCGTTAAGTGATGACGTGGCGCCCTTATTGGACGCCACGTGTCATTAAAAAAATAAAAAATGTATTTAAATAAAAATAATATTAAAAAATATTTAAATAATAAAATAATAATAAAAAAAAAATTTCCTTCTTCTCTTCTTCTTCTTCTTCTTCTGGATTCGGTTCTCTCTTTTCTTTTTTTTCTTCTTCCTCCTCCTTCTTCTTCCTTCTTCTTCCTTCTCCTTCCTCCTCCTTCTTCTTCTTCCTTCTCCTTCCTCCTCATTCTTCTTCTCCTTCTTCTTCCTTCTTAAGAAGGAAGGAGGAGAAGGAAAAAAACAGAAAAAAAAAAAAAAAAAACCGAACCCAGAAAAGAAGAGGAAGAAGAAGGAGAAGAAGAAGGAGGAGGAAGGAGAAGGAAGAAGAATGAGGAGGAAGGAGAAGGAAGAAGAAGAAGGAGATGAAGAAGGAGGAGGAAGGAGAAGGAAGAAGAAGGAGGAGGAAGAAGGAAAAAAAAAAAAAAAAAAAGAAGAGAAACCGAACCCAGAAGAAGAAGAAGGAGGAGGAAAGAGAAGGAAGAAGAAGGAGAAAGAGGAGGAAGAAGAAGAAGAAGAAAAAAAAAAAAAAAAAGAAGAGAGAAACCGAACCCAGAAGAAGAAGAAGAAGGAGAAGAAGAAGGAGGAGGAAGGAGAAGGAAGAAGAAGGAGGAGGAGGAGGAAGAAGGAAAAAAAAAAAAAAAAAAAACCGAACCCAGAAAAAGAAGAAGAAGAAGAAGAAGAGGAGGAGGAAGAAGGAAAAAAAAAAGAAACCGAACCCAGAAGAAGAAGAAGAAGAAGAAGAAGAAGAAGAAAAAAAAAAAAAAAAAAAAAAAAAAAAAAAAGAAGAAGAGAAGAAAAAAAAAATTATTTTATTATTATTTTAATATTTTAATATTTTTTAATATTATTTTTATTTAAATTATTTTTTTATTTTTTTAATGACACGTGGCTTCCAATCAGAGCGCCACGTCATCACTTAACGGGAGAACTAACAGTTTGACTAACAGATGTATGAGACTGTCCCAAAATTTACACTTTAGGTATGACTCTGGGACGAAAAAAACTTAATGTACTAAATGTTGAAAACCACGAAACATGAGGGTGGTAAACAGTCTTTTACCCATACTTTTACGTAATATAATTTTTTTTTTTTTGAACAAACGATAGTATCTACTTTAAGTGGTGGGGGATTGGGTTAAGCCTCACAATGAACTTGTAATAATGTGATTCAAATTCATCTTTGGCGAGAATCGAACCTAATACCTATCACTTTCAAGTGAAGAGGAATACTACTAGACCGTAATGTAAACTAAATAGAACTGCACACTTAGTTTATCACATGCTTAAAGGATTGAAGTCATAAGAGATTGGGACAGACTAAACTTGTAAAGCTATCAGGGAATGTATTTGATCGAATATAAAGCTGGAAGTAATCCTAGTATGAATAGGTTTAACTATTCTGATATGATAACTTTGGTTTGTGGTGATAAGGATATTTGTTTATACAATTTGATTAGGATTACATGATGGGAAGTAACCTAATCAATACCACCATTAAGGATATATAATAGAGGTCCCTGCATTCACACTGATTACGCAAAATAGAGAGAACAAGCCCCATTGTTTGTTAATTGCATACAGTAGTGTTGAGTGTAGAAGAGCTCTAGTTTTTCTACTGCAATGATTTCACAAGGTTAGTGGTTAATTATATTTGTGATTTGCTTATTTCCACTATTAACTATATTACACGTAGTGCTAGATGGCTTATGTAATATAATATTAGAGGAAAAGAAAAATCTGAGAATAAAATGAAAGCAATTGAAGTTGACTATTTAGATTCAGAGGGAAGGAGTAGGTGAGGTTTAGATTTTGAAACCCTTTCAATTAAACTAAAAAAAATAGAGGGTATAGCAACAAAGTGGTGACTTAGGAAAGGAAATATCTTGAGGTGGTTGACCTAAATAACGGTAGAGGAATCGTTTAAGATCCTGGTGCTGGTGGTTGATCAATTGAACAAGTCTAACTTAACGGTCCTAATGAGGATGAAAAGTAATTACGCGGTTAAAGGACGATGTATTATAAGTGAAAAGCTGTAGGGTTTATAGGTGATGAGCCTTAATATTTAGTGAATAATTCCTGAACTGTCATTAACATTTCAAAAAAGTCGTTAAGAATTGCAAAAGGGAAGTGCATGATAAGTTAACTGTATTGAGGTGACAATACCGTTTTTATTATTTATGGTTCGTGCCAATTATTAGTTATAAAGAACTTTGTCGGTGCTTGATTGTCACTGGCAATGGAGTGTTGTTATTCACTTACACGTTAGATTTATTAATGTGACTTCTATTTGTACCATACTTGATCAATCCTAAAATTACTGAGCACCGGTTAACGTTATATCGTCAATGACCTAGAAGAGTTTCTCTCTAACCAGGAGGCCAATCACAGCGCGACATGTGTCGACATCAGAAGCCAATCATAACGCGACACATGTCAACATCATAAGCCAATCACAACACGACACGTGTCAATGTCAGAATGAAACTATAAACTCTCTTCTATAAATAGAGATCAGTCTCTCACAATATTTCCTAATGTCATTTGTACTAAATCATTCACTAGTACTCACTAAAGGAGAGCTTGAACCTATGTACTTATGTAAACCTTTTACAATTAATGAGAACTATTCTACTCCATGGACGTAGCAAATCTGGGTGAACCACGTACATCTTGTGTTTGCTTCCCTAACTCTATCCATTTACATACTTATCCACACTAGTGACCGGAGCAGTCTAGCGAAGGTCACAAATTTAACACTTTTTGTTGTACCAAAGTCCTCACTGATTTTGTGTATCAACAACTTCTATGTCACATTTTTACAAATTAAGGGCATGCTTAGATCTCAAAGTAGGTAGGATAACATAAACAAAACACACACACACACAGAGAGACACACACAACAGCCATCCAAGCTCCCCCGCCCATGCAACCCCGACAAACACCAACCTCCTGCACCCAACACCCCGCCGCTGGCAGAAATCACCACCCATTCTTACTACCAGCTCAGCCTTCCTCCACTTGTTTTCTCCTCAGTCCTCACCAAAACAGTGTCATCATTAAATGGAGCAAATAATTTAATATACCCCATAAAAAGAAAAGGGAACTTCAAGTACTTTCAGCTCCGTTGGCAGTTTTGATGTCCTGCCCTCCCCACTTCCGGACACGATTTGTTGCTTTCTCCACCTGCAATTTGAAATACAGCCCATGACATGAAGTTGCCAAAGTTGAAGAGATTTGAAATATAAGTATTGATTAATTACCACGTTGTTCCAGTTTGTTTTGTAAAGTATAATTAGCAGAAGTATGGTTTAGAGAGCAGTTCCACATATCATGCCCCACCCCCCCCCCCCCCCCCCCCCCAAAAAAAGTCCCTACAACATCAATCACATAACTCATCAAGTACTTGGTGTCGAAGTTGCCAAATTAACTTGGCAACATTGAAAGAAAATAAATAATATTAAATTTACCGTGACTCCTAAATTTGCAACATTGCAAAGAACGTATCCAAGAGGAAGTCCAAAAATGTAGTAACAACCCAAGTTTATATAAGCAACCGTTGCCTGCCATCCACCTCCAATTGCAACACCTTCAAGAGCAAGATCAAAACATGGCATCATATCATGTTTGCGCAATCACACACTATAAAATTTTGCACACATAACGTTTGTTCTTTGTTATATATATTACGTATAAGATGCATAATACACAGTGACTTGTCAAATAGATACCTGATATTACTGGTTGGACACTATTGAGCACCATAGTTATACCAAGAAGGTATGCAAGCTTAGCGACCGCTTGTTGCAGCTCCTTGTCACTTGTGAAAATTACGGCAAAATCGTCTTTGGTTATTAAAATAATAATCATGAAAAGAAGCCCAAGCAAGAGAGATTGAGATACCGTCACATAAACGGCGTATTTGACTGTTCTAGGACGTCTTAATCCAAGCTCATTGGCGACACGAACACTATATAAGTAAAGAAAGTTGTTATAAATAATCCAAAATAATTAGAGAAAATTGCAGGGTAAATACCAGAGAACTACTAGTCCAATGTTTTACCTTATTGCAGCATTTATTCCAACGAACAACATTGTTTCCCACCCGTTGATGTTCATGCTAAGAAAACCCAAAAGTGGAAAATAAATGCTATTAGAAATCAAAAGCTCATGTAACATGTAAAGGGGAAAACACCAGATACATTATTGTACTGAACCAATAACACATTGTCACATATCTAAATGATTTTAAATGACATTACATTATTGACTTAAAATATTGTTAAAGTGTCATACCCGCCGTAAGTCACAAAAAGGGTAAAGATTTTTTTTTTTTTTTGAACAAAACAAAATGGGTAAAGTTAATTATTTGAAAAAGGAAAAAAGTGAAGTGTTAATTACCAAATTGAAAGAGAACCAACGGCTATAACTGCATCAGAAAGACCGCCCGTGAGAATGAGTATACTCATCATGTACCAAATTTCCAGGCAGAGCATATGCAGACGAGAAATTCATGCCCAAATCATTGAAAAAGATTCCAGTCCACCCTACGAACCCATAATACATTCAATTGAAATCCCCCATGAGGTTAATGACATGCCCCCAGTGCCAATCAACATACATCGCTCACTGTGTATGACCACCAACACTGCAATCCATGCCAGCACCTTCACCTTCCTCTGAGCCTAGAGTAAAATTAAATTCTCAGACATTCTTGTGGGAGTGTCAAGAGTACAAAAGCTCTTACGAATTCTACATAAAACGGTTAGATACTTGAAATTCCAGCACCAATGTTGTCCACACAGGGTCGAGCACAACAAGCTAGCAAAATCATTTCACAACGAACAGATTTCGTATCAACTATCTGACAACATAACATAATGATGTTTAGATCCACATGTATCATATATGTTGCTAACTAATATTTTGACGTTGATGATCGATACTTTGTCACGCGTTACCCTTTAATGAATAAAAGCAAGGTGAAGATCTACTAAGAACCTATGCTTACTCAAGAAACATAAGGAATTAAAAAAGTTAATTAATACCAAAATAGTATAGTGAATGTGGATATGACATAGAAAGGAAATGAGAAAAACAAGTCATAGTTCCTAGAAACGCGGGTAACTTAAAAAGGGCCCTAATATTATTAAAGAAAAATTTAAGTTTAAAAATAGTAAATATTTAAAAATATGTGGTTTATATAAATTACTTGTTGCTCCAATCTACAGGGTATTTAAAAATACAAAACATTTATTATCGATCATGCTTGCTTTATATAGGGACCACTTATAAATTGTTTAAAAGTAGTTCGAAAGTAAAAAAGGATACTTTCTAGATACGACTTAATCTTCATTATTTGACAAAAACCTTAGTGATATTCAAAGTTTGATCAAAATCCAAACTTTGTACACCTTATTATTATTAAAATTTTTTTATTTATAGTTCCAACATTAATTGATATTTTTAGAAACTAAATCTTATAAATTTAAACCCTCATTTAAATACTTTTAAAAACAGTTTACAATAAAACATTCAAAACAAGATTGAATAAATAAAAAACTAAGATTATTTATTCAATAAATAAAGTTTATGATGTTATTAATATCCAAGGACGCTTAATAATATATTAAAATTGACAAGATCTGAATAGGATTTCTAGTCAATGGAATAGTAAAAAGAAGGATGTAAACCTAATTTCTCTTTTACATGATGTTATTAATATCCAAGGACCTTAATTAAAAATTGAAAATGAATAGGATTTTAGTCAATGGAATAGTAAAAAGAAGGATGTAAACCTAATTTCTCTTTTAAATAATTACTTAATAATTGACTTATGCACTTCAATTTTTCACTCAACTACTCATTTGACACTCCACCACAAAATCTCGAAATCTGAATGGTTTATGTTTTAGGTCTTAATTAAATATCTTTCAAAATATGATGTTGACCACTCATTCATTTACACTCCACAATTTGATCTCATAATCTAAACGTTTTTATTCTACTTCTAAGTGTCCAACAATCGCCTTACCCTACCATATATATTCTCAAACTAAAAGCTTGCGTTCAAATATGATACGTTCTCAAACTAACAGCTTGTGGCCAAATTAGAATTATCTTTTGTTAAACTAAACCATAGCCTATATTAACGGACAGGAAACACTTGAGGATGGAACAAGAAAATGAAAATAAAAGTGGATGGTACTGTGGAACAAAGAGATAAGTCAAAAGCAAGGATCATGTGGCGGGGGTCATGTGGGGGTGGGGGTGGGGGTGGGGGTGGGGAGGGGGAGATGAATCCTTCAAGGTCTAACCTAACAGTCCTAACCCATGCATGAGAACGACGACTAGGTTGGAATTTATTGTTGGATTTTTAACACAAATAATCCTTGAAATTGACCATTATCATCAAAATAGTCTTTAAAATTAAAAATCAATCAATGTAATCTTTGAAAATAGGTGTCGCAAATTAATGTGGTCCTTCCATCACAGTTCTGTTAAAAATCCCATTAATTGCTGATGTGGCACATAAAGGGGCCCAACAAGATTTACGGATTTTTATCAGAAATGATCCCTAAAATTGATCTACATCATCCAGATGATCTCTGAAATTGAAAATCAATCAATGTAGTCCTTGAAAATAGATGTCGCAAATCAATGTGATCATTCCGCTACAATTTTGTAAAAAAATTGTTATGTGCTGATGTGGGTTTAATAATTAATTTAAAAAGTTGTCTAAGTACCTTTTTGCACAATAGAATTATTTTTTTTTCCTTATTGTAGGGCCTACTCCGAAGAGTGATCCCTTACATAAATTCTCAAAGGCACAAGGCTTAACCAAGGCCTAAGAGGGGGTATGGAAATAGTTTTCAATCAACAATAGACGCACCTTGGTTATAATCTCATTATCTCAAGGCAAACTTTTTCGTTCTTTGCATCGCCAAACCACCAAGGAAGTGCTGAACAAGCTCTCCAAGATTAAGGTTGTGATGATGTTGATCACCTAAATGTTAACGATGATGTCCCATAAGTCGTTGCCAATCAGCCAAGCCATCACCAAATGTGATCTCGACCCAAGTTCAATTCAGTGAAGGGTGTTGAAGTGTGTAAAGATATGTGTATTGAGATTTTTTTTTTCTTTTCCAAAGAATAGAGAGAATGAGGTAGAGATGTGGACTGGGATCAGAGATGATTGCAGGACTGGATTTTTTTATTGACAATTTTTTTATTAACTATTAAATTATTTAGCCTATTTGTACTTTTTTTTAATTTAATTAGACTTGTATGGTCAATTTATGTGCCATATCAGTACATAACAGAATTGTGATAGAATGACTATATTGGTTTGAGACACTTACTTGCGGGACTACATTGATCAATTTTCAATTTCAGAGACCATTTTGATGTCGCGGGTCAATTTCAGGGACCATTTGTGAGAAGAAAAAAAAAAGGACTTACGGGGCCAATTTATGTGCTACATAAGCACTTAACAGAATTTTTAACAGATTTGTGATGAAATGACTACATTGATTTGTGACACCTATTTTCAAGGACTATATTATTGATTTTCAATTTCAGGGACCATCTTAATGGTGAGAGTCAATTTCAGAGACCATTTGTGATAAATTAATTAATTAATTAAAAAAAATAAAAACCCTTTATTGTTTGATTTTAGGAAAAATTAGTACTTGGTCCCTAGTTACTAATGTTTATTGATTGAAACCTTATTAGTTTTCAGATTTTGATCCAAGTCTCTAACATTAATGTAATAATGAATTTACATGTCAGTTACATAATTTTTTTAAATAAAAATTAATAATTGATTTAGGATTTAGGATTTTAATACTCACGCCTTTATTAAACTACTAACTAATTTTCAATTCAAAACATTTCCATAATATATAAAATTAGAATAAGTTTGTACCATTAGTTTTTGTATAGAAATGTTTTCAATTTCTTATATGTACCCATTCATGTAATTTTTCAAAAAAAATTTATCTTAAAAATGTACCCATTCTTAAATATATCAATTTCTTATATGTAAAATGTACCATTTTTTTATATAAAATCTATTCAATTTTTTTTCTAATCCATTTTTAAACTTGTATGAGTACATTCTTTTTCTTTGATTTGAGAAAGTATCAATGTCAAGTTTAATCGAAGAAATTTACTAATGTTATTAAGGCTAATATCTTCTTCTTTTTTTGTGGTTTTGAAGAATGTACCCATGTTTTGGTACAATAATTTTTTATATATTAATATTTTTAATCCCACAATTTATGGGTTTTTATTTAAAATCTCATTAATATAAACAACTATAAATTTCAATTTTTAATTTAAAAAAAATATAGTAACATATAAAGAAATAAATTATCACATTAATTTTAGGAACTTCGATAAAAATTTGAAAACCAACAAGGTTTCAGTAAAAAAAATATTGATAGTTAGGGACAATATCCAAGGTCTCCCTTGATTTTAATTATGTTTTATGATCTCATGATCCATTATATTATGGCAGCATTTTTTATCATCATTCTCAAGTGATGATAATGTTTACTACCTTATTTATTATCGTTAAATGATTTAAATTTGAGATTTGTGTCTATCAACTACACAAATTTAAAATTTTAAACTCGTTTAACGGTGATACATACTGTGATAGCATCACTATCACTTGAGGATGGTGAACAAAAATATTTTCTTACATTAAATATAATGTGCTTTAGCCATTTTGGCACGTGAGTAGTTCTGAATCATTAATGTACACCAGAGGGTTGGGATTTGGAAATTCGACCGGCTAATGTCTGAGTTTACAAATTAAGGGCATGCTGAAATCTCAACATAGTTCTGAATAAACAAAACGCATACGCGCACACAACAGCCATCCAAGCTTCCCCGCCCATGCAACCCCGACATACACCCACCTCCTTTCACCCCACACCCGCCGCCGGCGCAATCACCTCTCATTCTTGCAACCGACTGAGCCTTCCTCGTTCACTTGTTTTCTCCCCATAAAAAGAAAAGGGAATTTCAAGTACTTTAAGCTCCGTTGGCATTTTTGATGTCTTGCCCTCCCCACTTCTGGACACGATTCGTTGCTTGCTCCACCTGCAATTTGATTTCAATATGAATCATTAAGGAAATTTAGAACAGAGGAAACAAAATTATAACTAAAATATGTTTCTTTTTACATTTTATTAAGTTTTTTCAATTCTCATATGAATAAGCAATGAAATGAAGTAACCAAAGTTGAAGAGATTTGAAACTGTTACCTCTTTGTTCCAGTTTGTTTTGTAAAGTATAATTAGCAGAATGATGGTTTGGAGAGCAGTTCCACATATCATGCCCTCCCAAAGTCCCTACAATATTAATTAAATAACTCATCAAGTACTTGGTGTCGGAGTTGCCAAATTAACTTGGCATCATTGAAAGAAAAGAAATAATATAATTACCGCGACTCCTAAATTTGCAACATGGCAAAGAACGTATCCAAGAGGAAGCCCAAAGATGTAGTAACAACCCAAGTTTATATAAGCTACCATTGCCTGCCATCCACCACCAATTGCAACACCTACAAGAACAAGAAATCGTGGCATCACATATCATGCTTGCGCAATCACACGCAATATCGATTTTGAGAATATAACGTTTGTTCTTTGTTATATATATTACGATAACATGCATATAACACATATATAGTGACTTGTCAAATAGATACCTGATATTACTGGTTGAACACTATTGAGCACCATAGTTATACCAAGGAGGTATGCAAGCTTAGCGACTGCTTGTTGCAACACTTTGTCACTTGTGAAAATTACGGCAAAATAGTCTTTGGTTATTAAAATTATAACCATGAAAAGAAGCCCAATTAAGAGAGACTGAGATACTGTCACATAAACGGCGTATTTGGCTGCTCTGGGACGTCTTAACCCAAGTTCATTGGAGACGCGAACACTATATAAAAAAGAACGGTATCATAAATAATCCAAAATAGTCAAGGATTATTGCAAGGTAAATACCAGCGAACTACTTGTCCAACGTTTCACCTTATTGCGGCGTTTAGTCCAATAAACAACATTCCTTCCCACCCGTTGATGTTCATGCTAAGGAACAAAAAAATGCTATTAGTAATCAAAAGCTCATGTACCATGAAAAGGGAAATACATTAGATACATCGTTGTAGCGGTATTTCAAGCCAATAATGCATTGTCATGTGTCTATATTTTTTAAAGGGGTATTATAACTTTAATCCTTTAAGAAGATTGAAATTTAAAATAAACCTAGTTAGTTAGATTACATTTGATTATAATCCCTTGATGTGTCCTTAACTCAAAATAATTAATGTGCATTTTATTTAATGACTCCCATTAAAAATTTGAATGTATTAATATACAAATTTTAATTTATTTTTTTTACCAAAAAGAGTTTTTTAATTTATTAATTTTATTTAACATTCTTCAAACTTGAAAGACTCAATTAATGTATCGAAATATGTGTACCGAAATATATTATATTGAATTAATGTATTTATTGTTAGTACCGAAATGTAATATATTAAATTAATGTACCTAAATGTATGTACCGAAATGTTATTACCGAAATGTGTTATATTAAAGTAATGTACCTAAATATTTGTATCAAAATATGTGTGTACCTAAATGTATGCACCAAAATGTATTATAATGAATTTAATGTACCTAAATGAAGAAGACAAAGTACATCGAAATATATTGTATAACAAAAATTAATTTATCTATATGTTTACAACAAAATATATTACAATAAATCAAATGAAAATTATAATTATAATGAAAAAAAATTAATACATTAAAAATTAGAAAGAAAAAGAGAAATAATTAAAAAATCAAAATATAATTAATAAATGAGGTTATTAATGTATCACGGGACTAAAATTAGATTTTAATCTCGCTTATGATTTTAATATAAAAATCATCTTTGCCAATGATTAAAATAAAATTTTCTATTTTTTAAATGACATTGCATCATTGACTTAGAATATTATTCGAATGGCAGACCAGCCTTAGGTAACAAAAAGGGTAAAGTTAACTAATTCAAAAGGGAAGAATTGAGATGTTAATTACCAAATAGAAAGAGAATCAACGGCTATAACTGCATCAGAAAGACCACCTGTGAGAAGGAGTATACTCATCATGTACCAAATTTCCAGGCAGAGCATGACTGCAGAGGCAAGAGAAAGTCTCACAAATGCCCAAATCTCATTGAATGCCAGCCATGAAAATCCAGTCCAACCCTCATAACACCAACCCATAATATAGACAACTTGAGCAATTGAAATCCCCCATCTTGTGATGTTAAATGACACAGCTGCCCCCGATGTGCCCCAATCAAACACATATATGAAGAGCGCTAGCATTCCAATGTGTATGAGCAGGGCCAACACTGCAATCCATGCCAGCACCTTCACCTTCCTCTGAGCCTTGAGGAACTTTTGAGCTGGGAAATTTATGGCAAGTGAGAACAATTGAGGGATGATTTGGAGTGTGAATTTTCCGGCTTCATTTGCTATGTCGTCTTCTTGGCCTAGCCACTTAGAACCGGTGTGGCAAAGATGTAAATCGGCAACAGTAAGAAGGAGGTTACGAATAGAATTATACATGATCGTTGCATGTAGATACCAAGCATGTGAACTTGTCCAGCACCAAATGCTTGTCCACACAGGGTTTCCAGAGCACTCCCCATCCCAAGCTAGCAAATCATTTCACACCAACAAATAAGATTTCGTATTCGATAACAAAATAATATATATGCTTGTCCACTTATATATGGTATATGTGGTATATACTACTATTTTGACGGGTATCATATGTTTCAATAAAACTTCACTCTAATCAAAACAATAGTTATGATGAACGGTCTACTTGTTTACGACATGAGGAATTAAGAGAAGAAGATTAATTAAGTACCATGAATCCATAAGTGAAGGTGGAAATGACAGAAAGAGAAATGGAGATGGCGGAAAGCTCAATAGTTCCGAGATGACCGGCAAAGAGCACGATGACTGAGTTAGTCCCATACATACACATGATAGTGATAACTGCCGAACCGCCTATTTGCCACAGCTTCACCGTCTCTATCCAAAACATTTGCCGCAACTCACCAAAGCTCCTCACCGGCGCATAGTCTTCGCTCTCACCTTCGTACATAAGCTGCTTATTGCTATACTCGGTGGTGCCGCCGGCGGCTGTGTCGAGCAGCGGCTCCTCCATTTAGTTAGGCGTAAGATTTAAGTTTTGAGAGTGGTTCCTGTTTGTATATGTGGTTTATAGTAGCTTTTCTATATTGATCCTCTCTCCAGGGTGTTTAAGGTCACGTATGTTGGGTGTTTAAGGTCACACAAACATGCCGTATCAATCCCTTATATAACGTTTAGAAAGTACATAGCCGAATTTTAAATAATTAATTATTAATAAATAACTCCAGTACTTTAATTTTTTAGCCACACAATTAATTAATAAGTTTATACGGCATCAACCACTCATTTGAGACTCTACCACAAAATCTCGGGATCTAAACGGTTGATGTTCAAGGCCTTCAATTAGACGTCATTCATTGTACGACCTTAATTTAATTTCATAATTAATCTGAATATTCTCAAGCCAACAGCTTGTGTCCAAATCAGAGTTAGACTTTTCTCAAACTGAACCATCGCCTGCAGCGTGGGGTACCTTCATGGAATTTGATGTTAGCAGACAGGAAAATCTGAAAAGACAAGAAAATGAGAGCAAAAGTCGATTAGAGTGGCAAAATAGAGATGAGACAAAAGCAAAGTCTCATGAGGCGTGCGGGAGAACGGAAGATGAATTCTTCAAGGTCTAACCTAACAGTCCTAACCCATGCATGAGATTGACGACTAGGTTGGAATTCATTGTTTGATTTTAATTCGTTTATGGACAGTGGCGGATTCAGGAAATAATGTTTGGGGAGTCAATAAGGATAGCGCACACAGCGCGAAATTTTTTTTTAGTCTCGTTTGGTACTTCGGACTGTACTGATTATTTCAGTCGGATAGGATAAATAGTCGTCGGATAGTACTGACTAAATTAGTCGGGCGTTTGATGCAGTGTCGGATTAATCTGTGCATGGAACAATAATAAATTTTTTTAATAATTTTTAACAAAATAATTGGTGTTAAAATGAAAAAAAAAGGAGAATACTAAAAAAGAATTTTTAAAAAAAAGAATAATGTGTGCACCAACAAAAAAAAAAACGCAGGTCGTCTTCCTTTCTTCGTCGTCTTTCCCACCTGCAGTAAACCATGTTGATGAACCTTCCAATCCTGTAAACCCAACCTCCTAATTTCTCATACCACTACTTAAAAGCTCCACAATGGTAAAATAAAAAGAAAATTAAGATCAAATCTGATGAAGATTTACACTTTGATTAAAACCCTCAACTCAGAAGAACAAAAGGCTCAGATGGACATGAAAAAAAGGAGTAAAAGCTTCGTAATGAAACTAACGAGGTGCACACAACGAAACTCTACACAGAACCTGCAACCGAAGTCTTTTTCTTCTCGCGCGCGCACCCTTCCTTCTTCTTCAACCTGCAACCAAAGTCTTTTTCTTCTTTCAGACATTTCATCGAACACGTGGTGTGCAGCTTCAAGAGGTCGCACCAGCAGCTCCAAGGGGTCGCACCAGCAGCTCTAAGGGACCTCTAAGGTTATTTCCATAGCTTCCAAGGGGTCGTGCGATCCCATTGACCCCCCTGTGGCTCCGCCCCTGTTTATGGATATCATGATCCATTATATTATAGGTGTATTTTTATCATCTTTCTTAAATAGTGGTAATATTTAACATTTTATTTATCAGAATTTAAATTTTAAAATTTGTATATATCCACTATACAACTCATCCAATCGTAATAAATAGAATGATGAACATCACTATTACTTGAGAGTAATAAGTAGAAATATTCTCAATATATTGTGGAGCCATCTTCACACGTAAGTAATTCCAAATTAATGAACACCAGAGGGTTGGGTTTTTGAAAGTCAACCGGCTAATGTCTGAGTTTACAACAAATGGTCCTACCTACAAAACTCCATTGAGTGCTTGGAAATGTTCGCCTTTTGGAGTTATTGGGTGTCGAAGCTGGTTTGCTCCAATTGTCTAATATATATATATATATGGGTTAGGATTTGGGGCACACGTTTTTAACTCACACTTTGACACCTATTTTGTAGGGTCATTTAATAATATATTTTAACAATTCGAATCATCAATATTTTTGTACATTAGATTTTTTACACAAAAAATTAGACAAATCCAAAATCATTAAGACATTCATTTGTAATGAATAAAATATAGACGAATAAGGTTCTACAAACCAACACTAAATTTAAACTAATGGTTATACGACTTCGGATTTGGGTGATTTATGGTAGAGATGATATTTGACATAACATAAAAAATAAACGGTTGGATTGTTGAAATACAATACAAAATAGACCACACAAAAACGGGTGTAAAAATCTGTGTCAAAAATGTGTATCATCGAACCCTAACTCTAATACATATATGCAAAAATTAGGTTACAACTTACAATCCATGTGATGACATTTTCTTGACTGAAATCTTGTGTCTTTAAATTTTTTATTGAAGTCCTTTGACTTATTTCCACATCAATATTTAATATTATTTTCTTATAATAAGAAATTAATTGTGGTATCATTTTAACCACTTAGTATTACGGTCTGGTGGTATTCCTCTTCATTTGCAAGTGAGAGGTCTTCAATTTGAATCTCGTAGATGGCGAATTCGATATCAGATTAGGTTGCCCATTGTGTGACTTCACCGAACTCCCCCTCCGTGTAAAATATATAATTATACTAAAAAAATTTGGGTGTTATCATTCTAAATTAATTACTTTTTAATACAATTAAATTCTTAATCATTTGTTTATTTTTTGTATCCATTGAAAAAGAAATTAAAATAAGTGGGATAAATATATTTTATATAATGTACCTATAAGTGGGCACAATGTTTTTCTATTCATATTATGTACCATGCATTTTTATAAGTGGGTATAGTTTTTTATGCTTATATTATGTATCCATATTACTTACCGATATGTTTTTTTTCTGTTATAAAATGTACTCATATGCCAATAAATTAGTTTGGGTACATTGTTTGGCATTTTATTAATATGTACGTAGAATGTTATTTTATTATACTTGCATTGCTTTTTTATTCATTTAATCAATCAAAATTTTGTAAAATAAATTTCAATTTTTTGGCTGAACCTTTTTTTATTATAGCCATTAATTGTGGAGTTTTAAATATCATAACGTCTCCCGTTCCGAATATTTAATTTTCAACGATATGAAATGACAGTTATACCCTTGGACGTGAGTATTGTGGTGTGTGTTATGCATATTAAAGGGGTTCAAACTTGCATTATTCCTCTATTATTGGACCCAATGAGAACTAAGTGTTTCTCTTAGTTTAGATTGGTGACTTTTGGACGACACACACACACCCACCTTTTCTCTCTCTCCTTCCCGTGCTCTCACTCTCTCTCCCTTCTTCGTACGGACCAACCCAGAAACCCTCTCAAACCTTGTAGATCGAAGGTTTTAAGATCATCATTATGTTCGTGAGGACCATACGAGTTCAAATATACCATTTTCAGGTAAGGGAACCTTCGATTTCACATGGAAATCCTAGCTCCGATTTTGCCATTGTTCATGCATATGTGAAATCTTGTGTTTCAGGGAATTTGAAGTTTATATGAAGCTTAAGGAGGTCCTCACGAGTCTCGGGGTACTCGTTGGAAGGAATTGGACGTCAAAGGGCTGAGATCGACGTATATCTAAGTAAGCTGAACTATCGAGCTTTCTCGAGGAAAACCTAGTAGATTTTAAGCCTTGAAACTTGTATAATGTGATTATACATGCTATTAGCTTCATTTAGGTCCCATTTTTGTGGAAAATGGTGAAGAAACGAAGGAGAATAGTGGTTTTAAAGTTTTACCCAGAAACCGACGACTCGCGCGGAGAAGAAATGAGTATCTTCCCTCAAGGTTGATGGAATAAGCTAACGTCGTCAGTCATCTTTAACAGTTACCGTTGGGTTTTAACGGAATATTCCTGACGCCGTTGACTAATGTAGTCAGTATGCTTGTCACGTGGCCGCGCGTGGGGGCGCGTAGGGCTGTGCCCTTGCCGGCGCGTGGCGGATCGTGAGGGGTCCAAAATTATTCTAAAATTTTGGGGATGATCCTGAGGTTATGTAAGTCACTGTGTTATATTTAAATACCAAAATTGAGCATCATATGAGAAGTTATTAGCTAGTTTTGTGAATGTGCTCTAAAATAACGTTTTTATAGTTAATTTGCATGTAGGTGAGACTTATCCCAAGGACGAGCGCATTCAAGGCGGCTCGAGGGCTACGATCCTTCAACATACCAGTGAGTAGGCTTTTGGTTTTCAGTATATATTTATATACTTTATATTTTCCCAGAAATATGTGTTTAAATGAAAGTATACCTTGAATGCCATGCATATAAATGATATTTTCGTATATGAATTAGTATATGATGCTTTATATATATATATATATATATATATATATATATATATATATATGAAAGTATACCTTGAATGCCATGCATATATATAAATGTTGATGCACAAAACCGGAGGTCTTGGAACAACGTAAATCCGACCGTGAATCTGCAAGAAATGTAAAGAACATAAGATGTATCGTGGTTCACCCCAAGGTTTGGGCTACGTCCACACTGATTGTATTGTATTTCTCTGATAAGTGAGGGAGAGAGAGAGCTCTGAGAGTGAGAGCGTTGAAATGGTGAGGAGCCTTAGGAATTGGTATCTTCTAATTGTGAGGATGAGGGATCTTTTTATAGAATAAGGACTCCTCACTTATTACATATTTGCCCTTTCCTTTACCACATAATTACATTTAAGTCCCTCAAGTATTTATACGAGGTCTAAATACGAGGCCTTAAATATGGTATAAACAGTAGTCCCCCAAGTTTTCAGTCAAGAGAGTCTTTTGGCTGGAGACTTGAAATTCAATCCATGTGTAGGCCGAAGTAACTAGATGTTGTCTTGAACTGATGCTCGATATGAGGCAGTGCTCAATCTAAAATGATGCTCAACTAGAAGTAACGCACGATGCGAGGCTGCTCGGCTCGTGGCTTATGTTGCCTTGGTTGGCTCGGTTTGTGGCGTTTGAAGGTGAGGGAGTCTCTTTTATAGAATAAGGGCTCGCTCCTCAATACATGAATGATGGGCTAAAGTCGATGCTCTTTAATGATGGTGAGGGAGTCCCTTTTATAGAATAAGGGCTCGCTCCTCAGTACATGAATAATGGGTGCTC